TCGATACCAACACATTGATGTGGGTGAGATTGAGTTGCAACCCGATGCAACCTATTTGGAACAACCTTACTGTATTCTCGATCGTAGGAATCAGATACTGCGCACGAAGACTATTCCATTAGTACGTGTACAGTGGAGTCATCATAGTGCTACAGAGTCTACTTGGGAACGGGAAGATATTATCCGTGCCAAGTATCCAGAACTTTTTAAGACAGGTATGTAGTGAATTTCGGGGACGAAATTCCTTTATTAGGGGGGGAGAATGTAATACCCCGTAATTTTAAAGAATGTATTTAAATTAATTTTGTGTTAGGTTAATTAATTTTATTTATTTGTGCATACTACATTATTTTATTAAATTCATTTAATTGTGCATGTAAATTAATTGTGTATGTTAAAATAGTAAATTTATTCATTTAATTGTGCATGTATTATTTTAATTACTTTTATTTGTTGATTATGTTTAATAAAGCTATATTAGTTAATTAGAGTATTATATTTGTGTTATATAGTATTATGATGATATAATGTATTATTTTGTAATAATAATAATTATATTAGTTTAATAATAATAATAATAATAATAATATAATAATAATAATAATTATTATAAAAGTTTATTAATAATAATATTAGTAATAATAATAATAATATTTATAATAATAGTATTAAACCAAAGTCATGATGAAATTAGAGATTAGGATAGGATTGCATCAATGGTTATGGTTGGAATTAAAGCCATATAGGTAGGAATATGAGAAATGGGTGAGAAGTTATTATAAATTAGATATTTGTAATATTTATATTATATATTTTGTGTATAAATTAACTAGCTTGCCTTAGAAAAAAATAAAAGGGAGTTAGAAGCAAAGTATAAATTCTAGAGAGCTATTTTATAAGAGTGAAAGGAAAAGAGAAAGAGAAAGAAGCTTGGACCGGTGTAGGCAATTTTACCCGACTACGCGCAGACCGGCGGATTTATTTTAAATCCAAAAAGGCAAGTTATTATCTACTTTTCCCCTTTGAATTAATAAATTAATTGTTTAGCTTAGTTTTATGCATAGAGCCAAGGTTTAGAGGTTAATAAATTATTAGTTTTATTTTATTCAATTAATGGAATTTTAATTATATAGGATGGTATATATTTATTTAATGTCCTATGAAATTAATAATGGCTAAAAATAATTAAATAAGACTTTAGGGATTTTTCTAGAATTTTCTAGATTTTTCCGGGCATTTTCTGCAATTTCCGGCGACCTTCCGGCGAGTTTTCCGGTCGCCGGCAGTGGGGGAGACGACCGGAGTGATCCGGTGCGACGCGGCACACCATAGGAGGGTGTACGCGCGCATCCTGGCCATTAGTGGAGTCTGATTGATCCGGTGCATCGCGGTCCATGATACCGCGGTACACCCGGATCTGTGGGCGTTGGATGGAGGGAAGATAGGGTGAGATGATCCGGTGTGACGCGAGTACGGAATCCGGATGCAGCCAACCAACCAGGAAGTGACACGTCAGCAAGGCACCCTTAGTGCGCGCGTGGCAGCGCGTGCGCGCGCGTGGGAGCGCGTGGCTGATGCCAGACGCGCGTGGAGGCGCGTGGGAGAGTGGGGAAGGTTGGGCTGCGCGTGGGGAGGCTCTGGGAGGCGCGTGAGGGCGCGTGTGGGGTCCCTACAGCTGCTGGAAATTACCAGAATACCCCTAGGGCCTGTTTTGTAAATTCCAGAACCTTAAACTTGGATTTTTAGGTACTGTGTTGGTAATTACGGGTTTAACGGGCCACGAAATTATTATTTTAACACCCGTTACTTATTCTTATGGCCGATTAATCTTTTCTAAGCATTTATTGGCTCGTTCGCAGTACGGATACTAATGTGATTTATTTAACGACATTGTTAAATATAAAAAGTGTTATTATCGTATTTAATGGTATCAAACATTACTGTTAAATTAAATAAGGCCATGGTTTTAGTCAGATAAATTATCCATGATATCTTATAGGATGTTTATACTGTTAATTGATATATAAACCATGATTATTATGCTGTGTGCATTTCAGGAAATAAATGGACTGTTTAATTATGTCGCATTTATATTATATGGATGTGTTGCCATATAGAACCATATGAGCTGGCTAATAAGTTTAGACTCATTTATACCTTATGCATTCGTTGCGATAGACAGATGTGTGGCTGTCGGGGTATGTGGTTTAATATTATTGGCATGTGTTGCCTAACTGACATACTTGGTATATTTATTAATATTATTGGCATGTGTTGCCTAAATTGACATTCTCGGTATCTTTATTAATATTGTTGGCATGTGTTGCCTAATTTATATGCTCAGTATATTCATCAGTACTTTGCGAGGTGTTATCACTGTGTAGTTCGTTATAGTCTGTGTTGTCAGTACCGTGCACCATGTATAATAGCTGATTTCCCGGGTAGGGAAAGGCGACACTTAACCACCTAGTGTGAGTCTAAGTGATCACCGTCTATTCTGGTTGAGGTCATGTTATACATCGGATAGTTCCCGTAGGATGTATACAGATATAGTACTCATCCGATTCATAATGATTAATTTATTTGATTCTCTGATTTGGGTCATAGTAGAGAGGACTTGCTCGTGGGGTTGACCCACCATTGTTGTTATTTCAGGATACGGTCAGTATCCGTTTCAAGGCTGAGGTTAGCAGTGTGGGACCATCATCCGAACTCATCTACTCTTACGATCCAGTGCAGGGTAGAAGTTTTATGTAATACTTCAGTTTCAGTTTTTATTTACTTTTGACGTTGAACTCTCAGGGTTATATTTAAGGATCCCTGACGTAGGATTTCCAAGTTGTAATGAAGTACTGCATTAAATAAAGGTTGGATGGATGTTGTATTATTTAATGTTTCTTTCCTGTCTAAATTCTTTTAATTCCATCATTTTGTATTCCATGCTTGTATATTGCCAATTGTTTTTGATATCCCTCGTTTTTCGTGTATAAGCCTGATCAACTTATGCGTGGAAAATGTGGGGGTGTTACATGTAAATACTTTTTAGTTTTATTTTATTTAGTTAATAGGTTTGTTATCTTTTAAAGTAATAATTTTATGTTAAAAAAAAAACAATCTCTTTAAGAACCTAAATAAATATATAGAGTTCTAAGGTCGTATTTTTTATAAAAAATATATATATACTATAATTTTTAGTTTAATATTTGATTATTACTAATATTATGTATCTTGCAACGTAGAAGAAGCAAAAAAAAATCTATACCTCAAACACATTTTCAAGTGCTTATGAAATTATATTTTTATTATTTCACGAAGTATATAATGGCCATTAGCATACATATATTTTTAAAAAATAAAAATTACACACACAATAGCGCTTTCATGACACACACTCTAAAAATTAATTTGAACAGGTAGACCCTATCACATAAAACATTTTCCCCCTATTAAGTCGGTGTACCAAACAGTATCACGTATAAAGGCCAATATGGTAAATTTAAAACTAAAGGCGACTTGGTGCCGGAGCTCTATAAATAAAACCCTAGGCAACATCAATTCTTGATAAAACAAACCCTAACGCCGCTCCGCAGAAATTAGGAATTGTGGCTGGGTTCCCCTACTTCTCCTGCACTTTGTTTACTGCTATTGTTTTTTCTGTATGTGTTATTCTATTATTTCTGAATATTTTTCATAGCTTTTTTACTGTAAATCGCTTTCTTGAGGCGTTGCGTTCGTCGGTCACCGACTCACCGATGGACGTGTCAATGAGAGCGAAAATTATTGTCAACGCCGACCTTTCTTTTCAAAGGAACTACGACTTGTTTATGGTATTAGTTTTGTCGTCGGGTTGTGAAATCTTCTGTTTAATATCTAACATCTTATATATATATATATAGATTTGGGTTTGATGATGATAATAGAAAAAAATGGGTTGTTGCTTCATATGGTGAACTCTCTCTATTATATAACAAGTGAGGGATGTTCAAGTTTCCGAAGCATAGATTAATTGGGTATCCTTGCCAGTTTTAAACAGCTTGATGTATTACATTACTTGTTGCATCCTGCTACCTGTCTGCTGGTAAATTCTTCTCTTTTTTCTTTCTCAAATTTTTTTTATATGTTTTGAATTGAATTTGATTTGAATCTTTGGATTTATATTGAAACACATAATTGATTTTTCATTTTTTTCTAGTGGTAAAAAAATGGTGGATCTGTGGAACAATATTGCAGTTCCTTTAGTGATAAAACCACAACTCCCCTTTTTTTTTCTGAAAAGTTTTGCTTTCTTTTGTAATTTAGAATAAATGGATTAATTAAAAATAAAATAAGCGGATTAAAAAGATTTTAATTTCTTGATTTTTTTTTTTTGGCAAACTATATAGGGGGACATTTTATCAAATGACCATATGAGAATGGTTCAGATTGGTTTGATTTTGATGGTTTGTTTGGAAAAAATTTAATAAGAAATAACCAAAATAGAAATTTGTTAATCATGTCAAACAAACAAATGCAACAATTACAATATTATTAACATTCGGCTTCTTAAAATATATATATATATTGTTTTTTAGGAAAAATAATTTTTAAATTTTTATTTGTTTAGGTAATTGGCAAAGGTTCACCGTAAAATAATTTTTTCAAAATTAATTAATATGTTATTTTTAGTAAATTTTAATATTTTTCTTCTTTGTAAATATTTTATATTTTTTAAAAAATATTTTACATTCAAACATGAACAATGTTATACGGTACTTTACTAAAAATATGTTTTGTATGGTCTTATTTATTTTAACAATATTTTGAGAACAGGGGCCTGTTTGGATAATTTGAAATTCTTTATTTATTTATTTTATTAGAGTCCCCGGTCATCTTGTAAAGTTGCTAATTTTATTAGAAGAGTCCTTTAATCTCGAAACCTTGCTATTTTAAGTTTTCTTAACACTCATCGTTAAAAGGCAATTTCATTGACATCATTAAGATAAAGCATTGCAATCAAGATCTAATAACAAACGGGTCACACATCCCAATTTTATTGCTGATACAAAATACACACTGGAGGTACAAAGCAAGTACTCCAGCCAAAGATCAAACAAAAAATACTAACAAAATCAAACTTCCTTACTGAGCCCAAGAAACTTAATGCAATCAAAGCAAACCAATATCTCTCTTCTTGTCTTCATCAAGTCTGAGTTCCTCTTGCCAAAAAAAAATGGCACAAAACAGATTTCTAGCAACTTTGAGCTTCAAACCACTGGACCACCTACTGCAGATTAGTATATTGTAGGACACCCTCCCATTTGCAACAAGACATGTAGCACTTCCAAACTTCCTTAGCCAAGGAAAAAAAACATTTAATTTGTTCTTACTGTTGAAATGAAGCGACCATCATAGCCTAACAATTCAGGAAAAGGGGAGAAAAATGCAGTTGTGCTATCAAAGTTCTAAGTATGAACTTACCTGGAAATAAAGAACAATAAACAACAAGAAGTTTGAAGTACGAAGTATGAAGAAAAAAAGAACCATGGACTATATCTAATATAATTTTAATTTTAAATGTCAAAGTGTAAAATTACTTGCAGTTGTAGAGCACAACCCAAAATATTGTGAATTGTGAGAAGACCTTTTTATTGTTCTCTAAAAATTACAACTATCAATTTTCGGTTTTTCAAAAATCGTTTCCACAAAATAGATCCAAGCAGAAATAAAATACAGCACCAATCCAAGCAGCGCCTTATTATCTATATTTGATGCTTCACAACTTATGCTTCTTTGCAACGAAAAAGTGACAATAAACCCACTTATAATTATAGCAAAAAAAGAAAAAAGAACTGACACAAAGTGATTGCATAAACACAAATTAAACATCAGTACTCAAATTTGTCAATAAGGATTGTATTAAAAGAATTCGCTAGGTCACTAAACCAAATTAAGAAAAAATTATATTTAAGAGTTTTTGAATACCCAATTGAAGTCCTTACCAAGGGTAATGCTAGGGGAAGACCAAAACTAGCATGGGTTAATATAGTGAAGAAATATATATATGGCTAATATGTATGTATATACATTTCAAAGTCTGCGTAGTTTATAAATATATTTTAAAAATTACGAATATTTTGTTTCAGAAGTTAATTTAAATTTTATTCGTTTTCAGTATTAAAAAAAAGAAAAAAAATTCATAAAATAGAAGGGTTTGGCTCATAAAGGCAAAAATCCTCAACTAATTCTGTAAAATTAAAGAAGAAAACATATAATGGTTTTGTAGGTTACAGTTAAGGAAAACAATAGAAATTGGAATATGATTCGGAAATAGTGCACAGAATCATGCGAATAAGAACACATACCGCGAATAGGTGTCGCTGTTGCAAGTTTTCCAAAAAAATACCTTCGATGTGCTCGCCACCGAGCTAGAGTTTCAGATTCGCGTCACAGAAACAGAGAACAGAGCAAAACCAATGGTTTTGCAGAGAAATACCTTCGATTTGTGGTCGCGAGCAAAGAACTAGGGTTTCAGATTCGCGCTATAGAAGTAGAGAACAGACAGAAACAAGAGGAAAACCAATGGTTTTGCAGAGAAAACCTTCCATGGTCGCAAGCGAAGAACTAGGGTTTCAGATTCACATCACACAAGCAGAGAATAGAGAGCAACGATAGCAAAACCAAATACGAGATGAAAATGGTAGGGTTTTTGAAAGATTTGCAGAGAAAGATTATCGAAGGAAGAATCGCCCATGAAATCGCCTCGAGTTGTGAGAAGAAAGGGAAATGAGAGGCGCAAATTGGTAGGATTTCTGAAATTTGAGGTTTTATACTTGTTATGGTCGCTACAGTAAACCGATATAAGTTTGATATCAGTTTTGGGCCTGATATCTCCGCTACAGTTACCATATCACCAATTTGGTGATATGGGTTTGGGCCATTATTTTGGAAATGTTTTGCTATTGTTCAATATCAGGCCATTCCAAAACTGATATGGACCCAAAATGCAAAACTGAAACACCCAAAACAATAACAAACCACCTTCCAAACAGGTCTTAAAAAGTTGTTTTTTCTTATTTTGACAATGATTTATGGCCCAAAACCATAACAGTAGCCAAAAACATCGTTTCTGTTTTGCTAAAACATCGTTTTCAAACATTCTACTAATTATTTTTCAAACCCGTCATTACAATCAATAACGGCTACACCACCACAAAGTGGAGTGTAACTAGCTTACATGTGTATTAATAGGGGCGCCCAAAGAACCAATAGAATCGTTAAGAACCACAATTAGTGCTTTGGTTTCAGTTCCAGACTTCAGAATCAGAACCAAAATCATAAAATAATTATATATATTATATTTTTAATTATATAATTACTAATATATATGTCTATTAATGTCTATATATATATATATATATATATATATACATACAGAATTGTTCACTTACTCGCTAGTATGCAGAAATATATATGTACGTCTCAAATATTAACCGTTAGATTCTATTGGACAAATAAAAATGTAGTTTATTCTTTTATATCTAACGGTTAAGATTTAATTCGTACATAAATTACTTGCACACCAGTAAATAAATATACGTTTTCATGTATAATATTATATATCAAAATGTACTATGAATGAGTTTATAGTCATTAAATTATTATTATTAAAAAATAAAAATAAAAAGGAATTGGAACGTTCCCAACAGTTTCAGTTCCAATTCCAATTTTCAGAAACAATTGGGAACGGTTCCGGTTTCGCCAAGAACCGTAGAAACCGAAATCATGTGCACCCCTATGTATTAACCTGTATTCGGGTTGTTCAAAAAATTGATGCCAGAAATTGCAATAGGGGCCAATGTGCAACAAATATTGATAATACAAGGGTTTATATGGACAAAATAAAAAATATGGATGGTTTTTGCAAATTTTGTATATAATCAGGGGTGTTTGATGCACTTTACCCTTAAAGAAACAATATTTATTTACAAAAGTATTGTCACGCTTATTTTTTTATTTAGGTATATTGCAATCGCACCCTCTTAGGTTTCTGTCAATGCCACTCAGCGAGGTTTCAAAAGTCATATTTACCCCTAAACCTATTAATTGACAAAAATAGCCCTAACCCTATAATCCCTTACACCCACCACCGCTCTGTAATCCCTCTGTAATGACCCTCACCCTACCCAGACACAATATTGTCCTCTTTTGATTCTTCTGGACCAGAGACTTCACAGGGGGTCACTTATCCTGGTACTACTCCAGGTTAAGGACGCTTAACTCTGAAAGCTTTGGTGAGTTCACGGCCATCACGACTTTAAACCACATTGTGTCATAGAAGGATGCTGAATTTACATATAACATTTGCCCATCCACGCCCAGGCAATGTAGGACTATACACCTATAGCTCGCCCAGTATGGTAGCTTACTGGTACCACCTGCACATACTCACGCACACCAGCCCATAAGGTGGCCATAATCACCCCTTATGGGGCCCCACATCCTCAATGGCCACACTTCCAGTTGGGTCAGGCTTTGATACCATTTGTAACAACCGCTACTCTAGGCAGACACAGTATTGTTCGCTTTTGGCTCCCCGAAACCAGAGACTTCCCAGGGAGTCACCCATTCTGGTACTACTCCAGGTTAAATACGCTTAACTCTAGAATTCTGGTAGGTTCACGACAATCATGGCTTTAAAACGCGTTGTGTCATATAAGAGTGTTGAATCTACAAATAACACTTGCCCTATCCATACCCAGGCGATATGGGATTATACACTTGTAACTCGCCCAGTGTGTAAGTGTGTGTAGGTGACACTAGTAAGCTACCACACTGGGCGAGCTACAGGTGCATAATCCCACATTGCATGAGTGCCCAAAGCGGACAATATCATACCATATGGTGGAGTGGGTTGTTACAGATGTGGATCGGGCAAGTGCTATATGTAGATTCAACACACTTCTATGACATAACGCGTTTTAAAGCTGTGATGGCCGCGAACCCACCAGAATTCCAGAGTTAAGCGTGCTTAACCTGGAATAGTATTAAGATGGGGGACCCCTTGGGAAGTCTCTGGTCTGAGGGAGCCAAAAGTGGACAATATTGTGTCTGGGTAGGGTGAGGGTCGTTACAAATGGTATCAGAGCCTGATTCAGCGGGAAGTATAGCCAACAAGGACGTTGGCCCCATAAAGGGGGTGATTGTGGCGGCCTTGTGGGAGAGTGTGTATGAGCGTGTACATGTGACACTAGTAGGCTACCACACTGGGCGAGCTACTGGTACATAATCCCATATCGCCTGGTGTGTGGATATAACAAGTGTTATATGTAGATTCAACACCCTTTCGTGACACAATGCGTTTTAAAGCCATGATGGCCATGAACCCACCAGAACTCCAGAGTTAAGGCTTAATCTAGAGTAGTACCAGGATGGGTGATCCCCTGGGAAGTCTTTAGTCTAGGGGAGCCAAAATCGGACAATATTGTGTCTGGATAGGGTGAAGGTCGTTAACTTCTCACACCCACAGACCGCCACATACCACCAACGCATCGAAGAGAAGCCATTGCCCTTGGACGAGCCACCGTTGTGACTTATTCACTCAACTCAATTGCCAGAATCAATGGCTTCGAGCGACGGTGGTGCTGTATAGTGATGTTAAGGTGTTGTAGCGACGGCGGATTCGGCGAACTTGGCCTGGTTGGAGTTGGTGACTTCAACAATTTGCTCTACCGCCGAAACATTTGGGCTACTTCGTTTAGGGTTCGTCTTGGTGGTGTGTGCGGGTGCGTCTATAGTTGTGATTGTGGTGGGTTCGGCTTGTTGGTGTGTGGGTGCGATGATGGTTGTGGTAAGTTCGAGTTGGTGATGGTGTGTATATGTGCGCGGCGGCGGTTGTGGTGGTTCTGATTGTTGGTGGTGATGGCGGTGGTAATGGTGGGTCTATATGGTTCACAATGGTGGGTAGTGTATGGTGAAAGAGAGGGTATAGGATGAAGGGGGCGGCTATGGTGGGTGGTGTATGGTGACAGAGAAGGTATGGGATGAAAGGGGCAACGAGGGTGGGTGGTGTAGTGACAGAGGTACATGGTTAGAGAGAGATTGGAAATTGAAGGTTATTTTGATCCTTCAAAACTTAGTTTTTAGGGTTATATTAGTAATTTACTATTTGTTAACCAAGTCAAAGGTTTAAATGGTCATTTTCTTGGATAGAGGGGGTGTGTATGTAAATTATTGGAACCTTAAGGGGTGTCAATGTAAACAAGTGCGTTGACCGTCCGCTGAGTGACGTTGACCCAAACTTCAGGGGATGTGAGTGTAGTATAACCTTTTATTTTATAAATATTATCATATATATGTATAGTTTGAGTGATTAGTCATAATTATTCTGTCCTAAATGGGATACCCAATTTAGAGGTAGGTGCGGATATGATATTAGTTCTTATAACCCGACTTGAATTCAGTGCGGGGCGGATGTGTAATTGAACTCGCCCGCCCCTACCTCAATTATATAATATTGAGGGTAAGTGCAAAAGACACCCCTCTATTTTTAAAAATGTGCAAATAACACACTTGTTGTTCAAATTTCACCCCTCTAGTTTCAAAAAGTTGCAAATAAGAGTTTTTGACCAACAAATTTGGCATGTGCCGTGCATATGAGCAAAAGTTGGTCTTTAATACCAAAAATACCTTTTTGCACTACCCAAAATACCCCTTTGAAAATATAGGGGGTTTTTTGCACACTTTTGCATTACCCTTTTTCTCATTTTTCAAGCATTCTCCTCCAATACCTTCTCTCTAAAATTAATTGTTTCTCTCTCTAAAATGAATTCTATTGAGGAACAATAGAAAATGCATTTGGGTTTAAATCAATTGAATTATCTAAAGTATAAAATCATAATCAATATGAGGATGAATAGCCTATATATATATATATATATATATATGTATATATACACACACTGATATGTAGGAACATAAGTAAGGTCTGATATGCAGGAACACAAGTGAAGCTTATGTGCTTGATGGACATAAAATGAGTTATGGACGTATCGCCGGTTGAGTTACTGAAAATCCTTGCCGGTTTGGTTGCTGAATCTTCACCGATTTATGCGATTTAGGAGATTATGGGTGTGATACCCCTCGGATCCGAGAGACGGGTTGATCAGGCTCATGCCCGAACCCGAGGGAATATCTAACAATTAATATTTAAAACGAACACGGAATACAAAATGAAATAAGAAATAATTAACAGCTGGAAGAAACTAAAATAAAATCCTTTAAAAATAAATACTTAAATCCGGTAATCCAAAACCTTCAGTAGTTTAAACAACTCGGGGATCCATTTCTAGTGGACCCCTAACAAAAATCCAAACTGAAATGAAACTACTCAAAGAACACCCAGAGTAAACAATGGAGAGAAGTCCTACGTCGTCTGAAGAGTGAGTAGTAGTCCCTGCTCAGCACGATCAAGTCTAAGTCTGGAACTGACGAGTACCTGAAAAATAGAAGTGAGTCAGGCCCACGAACAAGTTCTAACCTATTACAATCCAAGCAGAGACTCGATACGCATATACATCCTAAGCAACTCAACAATAGCTAATAGTCTGTACGTAAGTATATCCACACTACAGGACTCTCACTGGACTATGGAGAGGGTCTCAACCTAAATAAAAGGCAACATGCGAAAACGCACCCAAAGGTGGGCATGAGTACCTAGACCTAACAGGGTATACCTCAATCTCTCATATCCAGCTAAGCATCCTACTGCATATACGCTCCCTAACCGACGATTCTGAGGCTCAAGCTCAGATTGCGGTACCATAAACATATATTTAAAGTCCGTCCTATCTATCTAAAGTAAGTCCAGTTAGTCATTCTGCTTGTGCAGCTTCTTTGACTTAACATATATAGCAAGTAATCCAATTAGTCATTCAGCTTATGCAACTTCTTTAACTTAAATATAAGTAGGATTTTATTTATATAATCCGTTCCCTTATTCCGATATAGGTAAGACTTAGCGTTTCGAGCTAGTCCAAACCTAGTACGCCGGTGCATACATTCCATACCATCCAGCAGTTGATAATACTAATAACGAAAGTAAATACCAACTAGTCCATAACAAATATAACAAGAATCCATCACAAGTATGATAAGAATATGTATATGACATGCTTGTTCTGTATTATCGATACGTGATTCTCCAATAAGTTTAAAACATAGAGAATATGTATAATCCATCCTATAATCCACTATAATAATAACAATATCAGAATTAACATGCTCCCTTTAAACTATTCCACGTTATCTAGTGAGTTGATAGGATACAATACTGTATAGTTAGCAACTAAGTTCCCATTAAGCATAATAGAGAATTATCATAATTGGCATGGTTATTTTTATAACATTGCGACATGATTTAATCCATAAATTCCTTAAGTCAATTGCTAATTTAAACATGAGCAAGTTGAATCATTCGCATCCAAGCCAACACTCAAACTTTCTGTAGAATTTCCTACTGTTTTCTATATTGGCTTCCTATGGTATCTTACATATTACCATGCCTTCTGAAGCTTTAATAAGGGTTTAGACATCACTATACTCCCCTAGAACAACTCCTAATTCAACTTGGAACTTTAAAAAATATAACCACAGTAGCCCAGAACTCGCAGAAAACCAAAAAAAACTGAAAAACCTTGAAGGAGCCCGCTCCAAACAAGATGGAGCCACCTCCAAACATGTTGGAGCCGCCTCCAAGGCATTTAGAGCCGGCTCCATGATTCCATGGAGCCGCCTCTTTCCCCCTCTCTTCCTATCTGCTTGTTTTCTTCAACTGCGTCCTCTCCGATGACGTTCAGTTTTATCAGTCCTCAACTTTAATGGTTTCTACTGATTAGAATTAAGTTTCCAATGCCCCAAATATTTTAAAACCATTAATCTTAAATCCACTCTAATTAGAATAAAAAAATTCAAGAAAGAAGTAAAACTAGCAAATACGAAACATGCAAGCATATACAGTTGCAAACGAACCTAAACATGCAAACCAGATTAACATTAATACTTTCTAGTGTGTTACAGACTAACTCAACTCTTTATATAGCAATTTACATGAATTATACATCCAGTTTCGTGAATTATTTTATGAGTTACATAACGAAAGATTATAAATCAAGCAGTACAACTCATGGCTACGGTCAGTTTAAACAACAGAAACATGAAAACCAGTTTATTTTTAATCCTTATACATTCCTGGAGTTGCATTAGACATGCAAAGAACACGAGTCAACGGAATAGAGTTAGGATTAGAACTTGCCTTACACCGACGTCTTCCTCAATTATTCGGTGAAATCTCTATTTGCCTTCTCTGATTTCTCTCTGCCTCCACAGTAGTGAATAGGGTTCTAAAACCCTTGGCAGAACCTTATATGCATATTTATAGGCCAAACTAATCCTAGGTTCAATTAACCCTAAACTGACTTACTCAGCTCATAGAACAACCTATATTGGGCTACATACGTGAATTGTATTATAAAACTATAACCATAACCTAACCTGATACAATTTAACCTTATATTTATTAATCAAATTTAATCCCTTAAAACCTTTAATTAAACCAATTAACACATTAAAAGAGAAAATACTAAATTACTAAATCAACCAAGTAAAGAAAAAACAATTTAACAATTAATTCAATTCAACAGTTAAATCACCAAATAAAATAAAAATAATTAAATCAAAATTCACAATTACACTTTAAGTCAATTAAATAATTAAACAAATAAATATGCATAAAATCCAATTAAATAAAAACAACAAGGAAATTAAATAATTAAACAAATAAATATGCACTTAAACAATTAAAATTTCTACACAAACAATAAATTAAATACTAGGACTATCCTTTTGAAATTAGAGGTATCACAATGGGCTTTCACCGTTTTGATGAAGGAAGCCATCGCCGGAGTAGTCCGATCTCTCTCTCTCTCTATATATATATATACAAATATCAAAATCTCATTTTTTGTCTAGTTTGTTTCCAAGATTTTGGGAAAGAAATCCCAGCCCATGCTAATACTCGCACTGATTCCCGTCTCGCATAGCGCTTTTTTCGCCCTTTGATATATATATATATATATATATATATATATATATATATATATATCACTATTTCTACCACCATCATCACCACCCAATCGGATCCATGAAGAACCCAATCGCACCCAAGAGGAACCCCAAATCAAACAATCACCATCATCGCAGACAGCTTGCAGAGCCTTAATCGAACCCAACACCACCACCATCACCAATTTGAATTGTCTACAAAACTTAATTGAAACCCAACAACACCACTATTGGTTGCGCAACCAAACTCAGCGTTGACAAATGTTTCCCGGATTCAATGGAGATGCACAAACAAAGCTTTGTCGACTTCAATGGACATTGTGCAATGATTGTACTCATCTTCAACTATTTTACTACAATCACCATTCGCGACGACGATTTGAATCCAAAGAAGCGTGGTTGCGAGAACAATTTTGTGTTGGTACATCTAATTCTCATTTCATCTTTCGACCCAGTTGGTTTTTATGCGATTTTCCAATTAGGTCTTTTTTGCTTTGTTATATGGTCGTGTATATACATGTACACACCCTCATACATGGGTTCTATGTTTGATGTTGGCTGGATCGATGAGCTCGACCGATAAGACAACGACGTCAGCAGTGAGAAAGGGGGTGAGTAGTGGTGGTGATGAAACATGGTTGATGGATGATGGTATAATGAGAATGACTAAACAACGTAGTTTGCAATTGTGCTTTGTTTTATTACCCAAAACGGTGTAGTTTAAGTCAATGTCTATTTGGGTAATTTTAATTTCTCTAATTTTTTTTATTATTATTGAATAAAGAATATTGAGGTTATTTTTGTATTTTTATCTATTCTCCAGACAAAAAGTTCTTATTTATAACTTTTTAAAATTAGAGGTGTGAAATTTAAATAACAAGGGTATTATTTTCACATTTTAAAAAATAGTGGTGTTTTTTACCCTTACCCCTCTAATATTGTTATATTATTATTTTAATATCTTGAAACCCGACTTGGATGGAAAGTTAGGGCAAGTGTCAAATTTTAGACGGCCTCAAATAGAGGACGGAAAGCTAGGGCAAGTTTTTCAGACGACGCAATCAGCTTCGAGCCTTCGACACTCCGCAGGACGCATCCCCCGCTATCGCCTCAGGTGACACCGTGACAAGGTATGTTCATCCTCTCTCTTTCTCTCTCCTTTTGCATGACTCGATCTTTTTGTTTTCCTCTCCCTAAGTCCACTCCAGTCTAACATTCAATCGTACGAAAATTATGGATCCCTTCTGGTGGGTTGAGGACCTGAGGTAATAATTAACTTTTTCGATCTCTAAATTATTATGCTCATACTTAAAAGTGCCAAATTAAGGGTTTTTTTTTTTTTTTTATATGAAGATACATGCCACCATTATTGATGTTATTTGACGTTGGGTCAGCCAGAATTTCAGTTAATAATACTGTCAAAGGCTCAAAACACTTACCATCAGAATGGACAAACACATGGAAATCAGCAGGCTTTAACAAAACAAAAGTTCATGGTTTTTTCTATTAATTTGCACAGGTCTTCTGTAGCAATGATCAATCAATCACTGCTACTAAAATTGATTCCTCATCCTGAAATCAAGAAAGGGGTAATTGGCTCCCAAAAAAAACACACAAAAACACACACAAAGCTCCATTGAAAACTCCAGCCAGGAGATCATTCGACCAAACTGCTTGATTTTAGATTTTTTTAATATTATGTTTATTGTAAGTTATTTTTGATTCTCCATCCCTTTTATGTTAATTGTGATCTTCTTTCACATGCTAGCAGGACACTCTTCCTAGGATCTCGTGAGGTTATTTGCATTACATTTACTTCGATATAAAGTTGAATTTTGATTTTTGTGACCAAGTTTGGTTGAATATTTCCTTTTAATTTTTTTGATGTAAATTGGATCGTGCTCTTTTTAAAGCACCAAGACCGGGTTTTCTTTTGTGTGTGGGTTTTCTTTTGTGTGTTTTCAACATTAATATATTTTATGTTCTTATCATCTCAAATTAATGAAAATTTCGCATTCTTATAATTTTTTTGTGCCTGTGAAAATTTCGCAGTCTTTAATTGATAAATTTATTGTTATTTGTTATTTGTCTTATGCACACTGCATAGGGATGAAAATTTATAGTTATTAGTTAGTTGTATTAAGCACACTGCACAGGTGCACAATTATATTAGCTATAGAATTTAAAAACATCGTGTGAAAATTCTGCACTCTTATATTTTTTTTTGCGCGTGTAAAACTTAAGGACCTCACATTTGAAAGTTTGCCAGGGCCTCTCAAAATATTTGAAATCTCAGGGCCGGCCCTGACTTTTGGGCTCGGCTCGGGTTGATTTTATTCTTACCCTTTTAGAAATTTACAAAAATAATATATACATACATTAGATCTGTTAGGTTCCTTTCCTATACCACCGCCTCTCCTCAGTCCTCACGTTCCTCAATCTCACCTCAGCCCTCAACCCCACGCCGCCGCTGTCTCCAAGATCAAGAGGCCCGTGAGACAACGGCGACTTCCAACTGGTGTTCTCTCTCTTCGGTAACCCATCTCTCTCTTTATTTCTCTCTTTATCTCTGGTTTTTTCTTTAAAAAATAGGTATTGAACACCATGTACCAGGCCGGGTAGGGTTTAGCCAAACCTGTTCCAAACTTGCCCCGTTTCTATCCTTACTCAACCCACTCAAAATAAAATAAAATAAAATAAAATATTGGTTGCTCAAGTCATTGAATTGTTCTTTCTTAAGCCCCAAGCCTTCTGAATCTTTAGATCTTCCTCGATCGATTTCTGCGACTGCGACACCATCCTTCTCTACTCCTTGTAGTCGCACAATAAAATTATGTATTCATGTTTTTATATATACTATTCTTATCAAATTGAAGCTCCAGGTTTCACTGATTTACACTCGATTCGTATCATCAACAACCCTAAATTACTTTTTTTATTATTTAAAAATACTAAATGTTGGGTCAGATCACTATAGGCTTTAATTTATTTTCACGAATTTTAATTATTTTGTTACCCAGTATTACAGTCCAATCGCGGATATAAAGCATTTTTTGTTTCTTTGATGATTTACAATTCTGCCGAAATTAACCTAATGATGAACTTTTTTGTGCTTTTGTGTTTGCAGATTGTCTAATTCAAGATGTCTAAAGTAGCAATTGATGTCCCAAAGGGTGGATTTTGCTTCGACCTATGTAGAAGGAATGCCATGCTCTCGGAGAAAGGTCTTAAGCCTCCGTCCTTCCTCAAGACCGGGACTACTATTGTCGGTCTGATTTTCCAAGTATGTGTATTTTTTAGTCCACTTTGAAACTTAATTTATTGTTTAATTTGATTTGAATTTCAATTTGATGAATTGAGAACTAGTGCCTTAGGTTGTCTTTATAGATTATTTGACATTGATTTGTAAATTTGTTTAGATAACTTGATCAGTTGCACAGAACTTCAATGTGTAAATGAGGTGGCAAGAACGATGAACCCCTTTTACCTGATTTTTAACTGTTTACTTTAAAGGTTTTATTTTGTTCTTCCCTTTGATGGCCGGACAGTTTAATTTTTAATTTGCTTAAGTTAAATTTTTCTTTAAGAGGGTGGACTCTAAAGCTGAAAAGGAGTATAGAAGGATTATGAAAATGTAACCACCTGGCATTCTTCACAAATTCATTGAACACCAATCGAGCGAAACTCTTCCGTACAAGCTGAACAAGTAAAAAAGTCTTTAAGTACTCAAGAATTTCAACGGCAAACCAAAAACATGCTAAATAAGTACTAAGGCATTCATTAAGGAAATATAACCTAGGTATTAAGTCTTCTGATTCTATAACCATTTTTGTGGCTTCTTTGTCATAGCTACTAATATTACAAAAAATCAATGCAAGTTTAAAAGTCGTAGAAAAATTGGAAAACATGCATGTAGGTAGCAAGTTTAACCTTGTTTCTTCCTTGTAGTCGTGACATCATTAATTTCTACATAATATTATAGCTATAGAAACTAACATTTTGTCATGGCAGGCCTTTGAAAATCCCTCTTACATTATTTAACATGATTGTATTGCATTATAAGCAAGCATGTATGATGTATCATTATGAAGTTCACCACGACAGATCTTGCATATTAAGACAAGCATAAGTTTACAAGGGAAGTTGTTGGAGCAAGTTAATGAAACTATCCAATTTTGAGAATGTTCTTTTCTAAAATCAGAATGAGAAAAGTGAGGCTCCAAAACAGTTTTTCTTGTCCCTCTGTAAACAGGATATATTTTCCTAGAGAAGAAGGTTATCACATTTGTGGAACATCAACAATGTTTGGAACAAAGAATTGAGTTTCAGCTGAACTTAATAAATTGTTTCAGGGAAAAAAAGAGAGGCAGAGGACGAAGAAGAAACTTTATTTTACTTCTGCTATATGCCCTGATACCATCAAATGTTATATTTCGTTACATAAATAATAAAGTTGAAATTAAAATGCTTTATTTACCCACACAAAAAATAAAGGGTAAATTACAGAAAGTACCCCGAGGTTTTCATCTCGTACGCTAATATTGAAGTAGGCGCGATATATCAGGAAGGTCCAAGTTCACTAGTTAATCTTAGGAGATATAGATGAACTTACCCATATGACCTTAGTACACAAAATGGTTCCATTAAAAGAAGAATCTGGAAGGGAGTTGGTATGTGTAAGTTACGTTTTTGCCCCTCCTCTTTCTCTTTCTTTCCTCTTATTTTTATATGCATATATACACACACAAGAACACAATCATACACATATGTGCATATATTTCTCTTTCTTTCCTCTCTTATATTTATATGCATATATACACACACAATTATACACACACAAGAACACAATCATACACATATATACATATATTTCTCTTTCTTTCCTCTCTTATTTTTATATGCATATATACACACACAATTATACACACACAAGAACACAATCATAAACATATATACATGTATAACTCGCCACTGTCGAGACACAGTCTCTCTCAAACCACTTCTTGCTCCATCTGCTGAATTCAGACAACCCTGCTACCCTTGGAAAGTTAAGGTTTTGATTTGATACAAATATTTGTAGATAGATATATGTATTTTCAGGTGTAACGTGTTTGTATATATATATGTATTTGCATGTGTAACGTCTTTATATATTAACCTGTAAATATAGCCATTGTCCAGTAACAAACCCTTCTCCTTGATGAATAAATTAGAGAGAGAAGTTCTTGAGATGAATAAATTAGAGAGAGAAATTCTTGAAGGAGAGATAGAGCAACGTCTGGTAATGAGAGGGAGGGGGGACAATGGCTATATTGATATTCAAGTGGTTAAGAGTCTTATGACAATGATAAATAAGTGGGACAGGTGATCCAAATGGAAGAAGGGTACTTTTGTCCTGGTGAAGGCGTAATTTAGTTGACTTGAATGGACAATTTGGTCTTCTCAAAACAAGTAGGTTAGTTTTGTCCAAAACTTTTTTACCCCAAACTGATTTTACGCTCAACTCACAAGTGGAGATCATTGTGTTAGGTCAATGAAACCATAGGGGTAATTGACCAATATATTGTATCACCTTCTATTCGTATGCACTAGATGAAAACCTGAGGGTGCTTTGTGTAATTTACCCAAAAATAAATAAATAGTCTTTTCTTTGATTTGTTTTTTGAAACTGAGATCAAAGTACAACTAAAATGCACAAAATGCTTATGTTGTGGGTGAAATAATATAGCAGTCAAAGGGAATGCAGAGAGCACAACTATTAATGCTTATTGATATCCTGAGTTTGCCACTCTAGTTTGATATTTTCCCCCAAATTTTATTTATTTATTGTCTATAGTTTTATCTGTAGTGTAATTGCCATTCCAGTTTGGGTTTGGTGACGTTTAATATATATACTCCTCTCGTTTTTGCTTAAATTGGGAGTGGGCTGTGTTCAAAAGGTCGCTTCTTAGTTCTGAAGCTCATCCTTTGTCGTATTCTCAATTTTCTATTTTAGGATGGTGTAATCCTTGGAGCAGATACAAGAGCCACAGAAGGGCCCATTGTTGCTGATAAGAATTGTGAGAAAATCCATTATATGGCACCAAATATTTATTGCTGTGGAGCAGGTACTGCTGCTGATACAGAGGCAGTGACAGGTATTTTCCAAATTTGTTCTATATTAGTGTACTGGCACCTGATTTTCTTCGAGTACAACACTCCTTGTTTTTATGTGAAGCTTTTGAACAATCTAACATTTGCATTGGTAATCGTTGTTCTAGACATGGTCAGTTCCCATCTGCAGCTCCACCGGTATCATACTGGTCGGGAGTCAAGGGTTGTAACAGCTCTTACCCTCTTGAAGTCTCATCTTTTCAAGTAAGCCTATAGTTCAAGGTTTTGTTTTATAGTAATATCAGTATATTACTGTAAGCAGATTATAATTAACAAAGGCTGGATTGTTTCATTACTTAACCAGTTACCAAGGTCACGTCTCAGCTGCTTTGGTGCTTGGTGGAGTTGATGTCACTGGACCACATTTGCATACTGTGAGTTATGTCTCGTTATGGTAATGATCAGCTGAAGGCAGCATGTTTCCTTGTCATACAAACAGTAAGTTCTATTTTTGAATTGTTGCACAGATCTACCCTCATGGATCAACGGACACTCTTCCTTTCGCTACGATGGGCTCAGGTTCTCTTGCTGCGATGTCAGTTTTTGAAACGAAATACCGTGAAGGGCTAACTGTAAGTTAGCTTACTCTGGTTTGTTACTTTTGATGATTCATCGATAGGTTTCCTTGGAATTTGAGTGTTCAAGTATTTGTTTGCAGAAGGATGAAGGAATAAAAATAGTGTGTGAGGCTATTTGCTCTGGAATATTCAATGACTTGGGAAGTGGAAGCAATGTGGATGTTTGTGTAATAACCAAGGTCTGTTGATTTGTTATCACATTCCTTGAATGAATTAGAATTTGTTGTATCCATATATGTAGTCTAGGTCTTCTTCTTCTTCTTCTTCCTTTTTGTTTTTTCCCACTCTTGGGTATGGGCTTTATGAACTCCTCTCGATAATGCTTGTTTTATTCAGGGGCACAAAGAGTATCTGAGGAACCACCAGTTGCCAAATCCGCGCACTTATGTCAGTGAGAAAGGCTATTCTTTCTCCAAGAAGACCGGTGAGTAGTTTTATCACAAATATATAAACATTTGCCTTTGTACCTATGAGTTTGCTTTTTATAGAGATCATGGTACTTGTATTTTTTGTCTTTCTGGGCTGTCCTGTTATTTTTGTATTTCAAAATTCTCAATTGACAATGTAACTAAGCTTGAATGCTTTACATTATCATTAGGAAACAAAAAAGACTTGAGACTATTGGAAATGTCATTCCTTATGAGAGTACTCTTGGCTCTTAGCAACCACCTGCCAATTTGACCTTCTAATACACTTGGACGAATACTTACTTAAAAATGAGACTCCTAGAATGTTTATGCAATGGGATTGCATTATTTGGTAGGTTGCATATATTGTTTGATGTTGATATTTGGTTGATGTTAATATACTGTTGTGATTGCAGAGGTTCTGATGACAAAGATTACCCCCTTGAAGGAAAAGGTTGAAGTCATTGAAGGAGGAGATGCAATGGAGGAGTAACTTTTCAGTTACATATTTTGTAATCTCCTCACTTTTATGGCTTGAATTTGATCTCTTATCCAACATCACTTTTATTGTTGTGTAGTTCTTTGGGCTACATAAATTCATGACATTGGTGCAAGTAAGAAGTGCACTGTTGGTTAGATTCAGGTCTTGAATACTTTATATTCGAAAGTATGGTCAATTCCCTCTCACATAACCTTCCCTCCCCCAAATTTTACTTTTATGACATTAAATCTACCTTCCTGAAGTTTTTTCTTATGAAATGCAATGAATCTGTTTATTCAATTACTACATCCAAGTGTTTTTACATGATTTATTTGTGTTACGTGGCATCAAGCAGGGAATTTGTACCACAGAAATTTTAAATGACTCGTAAGGAATAAAATAAAATAATTCATCATGGGGATTTCAGTTACCTTTTCTACATCTGAATTCTTCGTATATAATTTATGTGGATATATCAAAGAGTTACTATATTTCCTTCTTGGTAGTAGCATTGAATTGTAATTTCTCAATATCTTGACACTGTGAGCTCGTCATGCTAGAAGTCTAAGGCTTGAAAAAAGACTTCCCACCAAAGTTTTTCCAATTGAATCCAATATCGAGTTCATCTGAAGAAATGATTTAGAACCCATTGGCTTCAAGGGTCACACATTGTCTCTGGCCAAACATTTACAATCATTCATGCTGACATTGTTATCAGAAACTACATCCAAGCAGACAGTGCTGCCATTGTCCCGCTTGATTAGTGTATCATAGAATCTGAAATGGTTTCCTATTTTGATTTGTTACCGGTGCAGATCACACAGAGTCTTGCAGGTTGTCCCATCTCTCCAGCTTGGAGGCAGACGTAGGTTCCTTTTATTGTCAATACCTTCTGGCAGGTGCCAGGACTCGGACTCGGACTCAGACATGGGCCTAACTTCAATTGCTTAAACACTGAAAATTTAAAAATACACTGAAAATTAAAAAATATTTATGTGATGGGACCTATACTTCTTACTCTCGATATATTATTTTAATAAAAAAAAAAACAGTCAGGATTTGCATACCTTGAAAAGGAGATTGGATAGCAGAGATTCTGGGCAAGAAACTTGAATTCCTGGATCCAGCTCAATTCCAGTCCAATAGCCCATAAGTCTCGTCCAACCCATTCACCCCTTCTCTCAAATAATAACTCCCAACAACTGTCCACAGGGCCCAATCCCAGTCAAGTTCAGCAGCCACACCCAAGAAACAATTCAAGTACCTATTGTCATTGACATTAATACCCCTTTGGTCCACCCCTCACAAACAATGGGTTGTTTCAACAAAAACCTTATGGTGACCAAAGTGACACCCCTCAAGTAATTAAAACATTTTTTTTTTTTTTTTTTCCTTCGCACCTAAGAACTTGAACTTTTGGATGGGCATCAATGGCCTTAATTGTCGAGTGACATTATAACTTGATCGGTTGTTTACCTTGATTTGATGTTTGAGCATTACTTTCATCCAATAAAATGATAATAATTTTGACACTTGAATTAAATGAGAATCTTCCAAACTAAAATTTGTGACGGCCCTGGTTTTTCAAGCCAGTGCGTCCTGTGATGAATCGTAGTTTGACTCGATAACGGATCCGAAATGCAAAAGCAAAAACAGAAAACAAGACTCTAAAATCAAAGTGACCTTCCATGAGGTTGTGGAACTCAATGAGAACTGATGTGGAAGTAAAAGACCAAAAATATGACAAATAAGCCCCTAGGGGCAAAATAGTCATTTCTAAAAACTGTGGACTCAGGTGCCACCGAGCACACTGCTGGAAGGACAATAAAAAACTAATCAAGATGAACTCAAGAATCACTTGATTCGGAATTCGGATGAAAAAGATCTGAAACTTCAAAGTTTCATAAAATCAAACTTTTGGGTTTGAAATCAATACGGCAAGGGTACTTTACAAGGGTGTAAAATGGTCTTTTCAGATATAATTTGATGCAACCGTGTATACCGTTATATAGACCAGCAAAAACTAATAAACTTAGACTAAAAAATCACTTGATTTGGAGTCCGGATGATGAAGATATGAAGTTTCAAAGTTTTTAAAAAAATCAACTTATTTTCCAGGTAAGAAATCTAGGCAGGAATAATGTTTTTACAGTAAGCAACATTTGATTTTTTTCTCAGAACTGAGGCTAAAAACGGACCCTGAAATGAGTTTTTCTGGAAAAACATGAAGAAGAAACCCCCCTTAAAATCACGTTTTCTACCGGTTTTCGCGGAAGGAAACAAAAAAAACACACTGTAAAATTCCTAAAATGCCCCCTAGATCAGCATAGATCAAGAAAGTCCAAAAAGCTATTACAAGATTTGTTTTCAGAATTTGCCCGCAACTGAGAGCAAAAACGGGTTAGAAGATGAATTTTTCTGGAAAAACACGAAAAAGAAACCCCTCCCGAAATTGAGTTTTCTACAAAACTAGCAAGAGAATTAAAAAAAAACTCACTGTAAAATGCCCAAAATGCCCCTCCATGAAATCTGGTCATTGAAGGCCAAAAAGCTGCTAAATGCAAAATTGAATGCTGAACTTTGCAATGGATTTCCGATGCCAAGATGACATTTTCTGGAAAAACACAAAAAAGAAACCCTCCCTAAAATCACGTTTTCTAAGCGACCATGTCGAAAGGAAAAAATAAAACTGATGTGAAAGGTCTAGAATGCCCCTAGATCAGATTATGCAACAAAAGTGCAAAATGAATCCCTAGGAGGCTCAATTTGCCAAGAAAGAGGTTTTTCTTGAAAATGATCATGTACGCAAACGTAACTTACCTATTAGGACATGCTACAATGGTCCATGACTTAAAAATATCACCGATACAAAATTTGACCCCCCAACGGCCAAAAGGGCGAAAATGCATATGAAATGAAAAATTTGAAATTTAAAATTGACAAATGATTTCAAATTACCGTTTGGCCCTTGACCACACTTCTTACATGATTAATGAGACCTAGTGGAGGTGCCAGAACACACTTTGCACCACCCGATTTGAAAATGAACCCTTAAAGGCTCGGTTTCTACTATTTTAGCCCAAAAATGCAATATGTGAACTAAAATGCAAAAATGAAAACTAAATGGTGTTTGGCCCTTGGCCACACATCACATATAGCAAATGAATGCTAAATGATGAATTTCACACAAAATGCACACACCGGTGCGAGAATGACATATCAAAACCCTAGTTTTCATAGTTTTCTCATTAAAGGCAAAATTTAACATTTATGAATATTCATAGATTTCAAATAAAGTTTGGCCCTTGACCACAAATTATATACATAAAATGAATATCAAAAAGTGTGCTAAAACACATAATACAAGTTTGGAATCAAAAAATACACATTTGACAAAATGGCTACAAATGACATTTCAAGCCAACCTTCACAAGAATGGAAATCTTCAACTCCACAAATCATCCAAGCATAATGAGAATCTCAACATTGATTCCTGTACCTGAAAAATGTCCCCATTACGTGGGTGAGTAACATAAAGCTACTCGTAGGAGATGAGCATGCATCGACCTATCATTTTACAATTTTATCATCTTATAGTGAAACATGTTAAAGGGGTTCATGCCACCTAACGTCTATATCAAAATGAGACTCAGGAAGCATCCTAAGCTACCTTAGAGTGTTTCTAGCATAAATCACATCATTCATGCATTTCAACAATATAGAAACATGTTATATAAAGTAACAAGATATAGATTCTCAAAGTCATCAACTTGAAACCTAAAATACGAAAACAACAAGAGTGGGTCATGCCACCTAACGTCTATGTTTAAAATGAATCTATAGGATCATTCCTAAATTACATTTGAATATCAAAACACAAATCATGATATCGATACAATTTAACCAACATTGAAACTTCTAATACAACGCATAAAGCATGATTTCTCAAAGTTAACATCTTGCAACTTAAAATGGTAAATCAAACAAAGAACAACAAGTTACGATATCTTCTAGTTATTAATTTGAAAAGAAATGCGAAATCAACCAAAGTGGATACTTGGACGTCACGCCGGATCAGACCGACACCATAGTTACTTTAGGGTTACTAGCCCACAGGTAACCTCCCTATGTGCGCACTAGACTATATAGAGGGACAATCCCCCGTACTAGAACCAAGTCCTAGCCATAGCCAAACAACGACATCCCCAAGTTTCCAAAATTAACAAGTTGTGCAACAACGTATATATCAACATGTATATACAAGATATCAATTATCTACCAAGCACAACTGATTTGGAAACACATACAATACATGTACTAAGTCCACAACTACTATGGCATGACAAATGTCGAATCTTCGGTGTGCGATTCGTTACACGCTATAACAATATCTTTCAACATTGAAAACATAAGCTCATGAATTTAAATATAACAACAATGTTATCAAATGCTCAAATGTAACCAAGTGAATACACAACAAATCCAAGTCCATGATTTAAACATAGAACAACTTCCAAGACGCAATTAAATACATGGAGCAATTAGATAGAATTTAATTAAATAAACACAATTACATTCTCTAGATTCCAATTCAATTCCAAATAACCTCAAATTAATACATACTAAAGGATATAGCATGGTCATCACTTATATCCATTCTAAAACTTAATTAGGTTGTTGGAGCAATAAAGTGGAATTTTAATTAAATCATACTAATTTAAATCCCAAGATTCTAAAGCAACTTCAAATGGTTCCAAATTACTATATGCTAGTAAACAAGTCATGGTCATTACAAATATCAAGTTAAAAACTTAATTAAGCCAATTGAACCATTAAATAGATTTCAATTGATCATTTTAACTAAAAACTCTAGATTTTCAAACTCATCTAAATGTTCTCAAATTAACATATATTAGGGAACATGCCAAGGCCTATTGTAATATCATATTATAAGCTTATTTCATACAAGTTACATCTATGTAAATTTAACTTTCACCAAAGATAAATATTAAATAAAAATTGCAATTCTCATTCAAATGATTCTAATTTAATATATGTTAACAAATATACCAAGACCTAAATTACTAGCATGCCACACTTTAATTCCAAGTTGTATATCATCATGAGGATTAAATCTCAAACAAAGAAATTAATTAAATGAAAGGTTTCAAAACCTAATCAAATATTCTAGATTTAATATATGTGAAAGTATATGGAATGCACATCAAGAATATCAAGTCGGAATTTCAAAGAAATGAATAGTGCACTTGGAGCAAATTAATTAATAATTACTAGATTTCAAAACATCTCCGATTACTTTCAATTTCACATATGTTGAAGAGTGTATTAAAACCTAACATAATATACTAACACATATTGATTTCAAGCTAGATAAGGCCACATGAATTAAATATTTACTCAAGAAAAATATTAAATAAAATCTTCATTACTTGTCCAAAAATTCTCAATTTAATATATGTCAATGACCCTATCAAGGGGTAATATAATTCCATGCCACATGTTTAAACAAAGTTATAATCAACCGGGAAAATGAAATCCTTCACAAGAAAAATAAATAATAAAATCTCTAGATTTGTTACCAAAACATGTAAATAAGTTGCATAAACATCACTAGCATGCAATATAACAAGAATAATAACCTATAACCCCCTACCTCAATTTGAGATGAAAATCTCAAATCCCCACTGAAAGAAAAGTGCTCCGAATCCGAAGATACCGAAGGGTTTTGTCGGGGACAACACAATGAACAAGAATACCCAAGAAGCACCATGAAAATCACAACTTGACTTCAAACCCGAACTCAAAATTTGGCCAAAAACGGTTTCTAATAAGGGGGAAAGGTGCGCGGCGTCAAGGCGAATAATAAACGTTAAGGCCGAAGGGTTCTCGCTAAGAAAATCAAGTGGAGGAGAAGAAAGAGTGAAGATAGCCCCTCGGGCTCCCATGGCTGTCGGCCAAAAAGAGGAAGAAGGTCTGAAAATCTGATTTTAAAAATTAAGGCAACCTATTTATAGAAATCTCAAAAAGTGCCTTGAAAGGGTCCCGCTGGGTCTGGAAAAGTGGAATTTGAGCAAAAGCGCTCAAACGGCAAAACTCTGTGAATGCAAAAGATTCAAAATGAGAAAATATGAACAACAGAAGAAACGACGTCGAAAATCGAGTCCCGACCAGAGAGATATGCCCCGAACAAGTTCGGCGGCAACCGGGTTCAGAAACTCTGAAACTGGAGAAAAACGATCAGAACGGAATTCTAAGAGTACACGACTCGACGAAATGTGAAAATGAATCTCGTACGAGGATCCAGGCTCCAGACGAGGTATTTTTACAATAACTTTCGTTAATTGCACAATAGCCCTTACAAAAAGGGTTAACTGCGAAATTGTCCCAGAATGAAAATATCTTCCTCAGATGCTCCTGAAATAAAATATCTTCAAAAGATATTTACAAAAAACATCCCAAGAAAAGAAAAAAGATTCTGAAGAATTGTGCATTCATGCCCTGTGGACACCGGGAGCAACCAGAGTACTTTCTTGTAAAAGTAAAGATACGTATTTCGTGGAAATCACTTAGAATGAAGACACATGAAGTCAAAAACTAACTCCGAGCACGAAAAGTGAGATTGTGCCAAAAACTAACAAACGGAGATAAGACAGAATAGGGAAAATGACGAAATAGGAAAAATGACAAAAAGTAAATAGTGTCCGAAAAGTGAAAATGTGGAAATGACTCGGTCCTCAAAGGAAGTTGTCAATCCATACAAAAGAGTCTCGGAAACCAATTCCAAGCACTCGAGATGACACTAAGCGATGAGAAACTGAACTCAGAAAGAAAAATTAAACGGAAAAAATTTATCCGTAAAATTTCAGAAAAAAGGGAAAGGAAGGAAAATGACCGGGTCGTTACAAAATTGATCTAAGTTGCATTTTTTTTTTTTTTTTTTGTTTAAATAAAAGGCTAGAAGTTTGAGATTTTGATAAAAAAATATATATATATACACCAGAGTTACTATTTTAATTAAATAAGCTCTAATTTAAATAGTATAATCTATTTATTGAAAAGGTTGAGTATTCAAACTTGTAGGAAGGAAAAGTAGCTGGTGTGTTTGGCTGAACATTTGAGGTAAAAAAAATATATATATCATTCCATATTTATTTATTTATTATTTGTTATTATATTTTTTTCTCATACCATGCACGATTGTGGAAAAAAATTGGCACCTTATCATTGGTCTGAGGTCGCACTGACCAAACTAACCATTGTCATGCCATTAACACGTAAGGAAGGAAAGTCAAGCAAGAAATGTCTTCCAGCTTCTTCAACTTCTTTTACTTCTCTTTTCCAAATTTCCTCCTTGTTTTGTCAAATTTAAATTTCCCAGGAAAAGGATAGAAAATTACCTGGTAAGCTCTTATGAATATTCGTTTCTCTCCCCTCAACTTTCGTCTCCGATGACGACCTCCTGGCGACCATCACTTGTTGAACGCCGACCATCACGCCGGCCACCGCGTCCTCGAGCGCATAGGCTTCCCCCTCAATGCTTAATCTTGTAGCTGTAACTACTCTCTCCAAGACCTTTCACCCCAACTCCCTCGCTCCTAATTTCTCAAAAATTTCTCTTTCGTTTCTCTCTCACAAAATTTACTGAGGCTCACCATCTCTCAATTTTTAGATTGCAAAACTCTTTATGCCGCTTCCAACTACGATCTTGAGTTTGAAGAAGCGAATGATTCGGGCCACCGACAGCATAACATTCTCCATAACCCTGACTTCATTCTCCGCAGGGGGCGGCTGGACCCTTAGGCGAGCGGTTGCCCAAGGTCCAGCCAATAAGAAGGATTTAATTTAATTTTTTTTTTTTTTCATATTATATTTTTTCTAAAATTTTTATTTTCTTCTTATTATTACTCTTGACCCATATAAAAATTCCAAAATTTGTTTTATTTACCATAGGATTAAAATTTGGCTGTCAAATGTTATGTAATAGGAATGGGTCCTAATTTTCAATCACCCATTGATCTCTAGGTGAATTTTCAGTAATTTTATTAGATATATATAAAAGTCCTATCAGGATATTTGGAAAATATTTTCATATATATATATATATTTTTATCACATTCTCAAAATGTATCTAATTTTATCCGACAGTATGATCTCCCCTCCTCAAAAGTTGAGTTGGAGTCGGGCACGAATGTACTATGGGTTCAGCTCCACTCTAATTTTTTTGTTATTGCATTTTATATTTTTAAATTTGTACTTTTTTACATTTATACCCATAAAATTTTAAAATTGTTCCACTGAAAATATGAAAAAACCCCTTTATATAAATTTTTAGATCCGTCCTGGTTGGAGTGTTCAAACCTACAACCAGTAATATTGTAGGTGTGTGCGATGCAAATTTTCAACTGAATGACAACGTATCTAGCAAGGTAGGTGTCATGAAGTGGACATTTTATGTTTTTGAACTAGAGAGAGATGGAGGGTGGTGGTGTTCTTGAACATAATCAGTTCGGTTGGCCTTTCTCTTGTCTATTATCTTTCTGCTTTTATACAATCATCATCTCTGACCACGCCTTCATCATCATCACTGTCTCCCTCTAGTTTCTCTCTCATCAAGACCCTCCATTTCAGCCCTTTTTATAGCTCACAACAACGTCATTGTCATGACCTTCCTTTTCTCGATTACACTAATCAATTTGTCACCCACAAAAAAATGACCCATTTGTACCAATCCCATCTTCATCTTTTTTTTTTTTCCTTCTTGTTCTTCCATTACATTTGTCCTCTCATGAGTCGTCGTAATCCGAATCAACACTTCTTGCGTAGTCTTGAACTCTTCATGGGGTTGCACTGGTGTCTCTGGTTTGGGTTCTTACTGTTCTGTGGCATTGGCAAAGTCGCATTATGTGATCAAGATGGTATCTATTGTTTGTCTTTTTTATTTTCCTTCATAGTTCACATTCTTTTGGTTATGAAATTTTCAGCATTTACTTTAATTGAGGACTAATTCCTTTTAATGTCTCACTGATTTATGTTGTTGGCTTTCACAACAAATTACATTTCTAGTCTGCTTTGATGCTTAAGAATTATGCTTTAATCAGCTTAATTTGGATATTTTAAATTGTTATTGATGCTTAACATAATCTATAATACAGCGCTTGTCTTTGCTTTGTGATAATGGATGTATAAGACCTTGGATTTAAACGTTGCTTACATGATGTCAATGGAATTATGAAACAGGTTTTTTGAGTTTATCATGTGGTGGAACTTCAAACTTTATTGATTCTTCTAATATTGCATGGGAATCTGATGATACTTATGTTAGTGGTGGCAACACAACTACAGTCGGTTCCATTGAGGGTACCTCCTCATCTCATCTTCCCGTACGATTCTTCCCGGATTCCCAAGGTCGACATTGTTATAGGCTACCTGTAAAGAATGTGTCATCCTTGGTTCTTGTTAGAGCCCAATTTGTGTATAGGAATTATGACGGACTTGGGAAACCACCAGCATTCTCTGTTTCTCTTGGGACAGCTATTACCACTACGGTAAACCTTACTACTTCTGATCCACGGACCGAGGAGTTCATATGGCCAGCCAATAAGGACGTTGTGCCTTTGTGTTTTCTATCAATCCCGGATGGAGGATTTCCTGTTATTTCTTCTATCGAAGTCCGGCCTCTTCCTCAAGCATCTTACAGAAGTGGAATGGGAGATCTCCAAAATAAGTCACTTAGGAAGTCTTACAGAATCAATTGTGGTTACACCAATGGCTCACTGCAGTAAGAACTTATACAACCTCTTCTTATTGTGTTGCTTAGAGGAACAATGCAAGTTTTCTTTTTTTTCTTCTCTATTTTACCTTTTTTTTTTTTTTTTTTGAAATAATAGATACCCTTTGGATCCATATGATCGAATTTGGGATGCTGATGAAGATTATGCCCCCTTTCATCCGTCAACTGCGTTCAATATTCAGCTTAGCTTCAATCTGTCTAGTCTTGAGGAGAGTCCCCCTATCACTGTTCTTCAAACTGCAAGAGTTTTGGCACGGGCGGGTAATTTGATGCATAACCTCCCTCTTGATGTTCTAGGAGACTACTATATTGTCCTGTATTTTGCTGGGATTCTTCCTGTGTCTCCATCGTTTGATGTGCTAATTAATGGGGATGTTGTTCAATCAAACTACACCGTGAAGATGTCAGAAGTCAGTGCTCTATTCTTTACCAAAAAGGGGATCAGGAGCTTGAACATCACATTGAAGAACATCAGCTTCTACCCCCAAGTCAATGCAATTGAGGTCTATGAGATTGTTGACATTCCTGTGGAATCTTCTTCAACTACAGGTACTTTTACATTTTCAATTTTGCATTCTTGATATGTTCTTTCCATGGATAAGATCATTCATTATACTCATGGTTTGTTGATATCTTTGTTGTAGTCTCAGCACTTCAGGTTATTCAGCAATCAACCGGTTTAGATTTGGGGTGGCAAGATGATCCATGTTTACCTTCACCTTGGGATCATATTGGATGCGAAGGAAGTTTGGTTACTTCTTTGTATGCAACTACCACATGGGTGATTTGTTGTGTTTTCTTTTTGTTCCTTGTGTTACTGATATTGGCTCTCACTTTGTCTTAGGGAGCTTTTTGACATCAACTTGAGGTCAATCAGTCCTACATTTGGTGATTTACTGGATCTTAAAGCACTGTAAGCTTCTTATTGGCAATTCATGACTCGTTATCATTACTACCATGCTTCTTGCATTTATTTTATGATCTTATGTTCAGGGTTTTGCACAATACATCACTTGCAGGAGAGGTACAAAACTTGGGTAGCCTACAGCATCTTGAAAAATTGTAATGCCCCACTAAAGAGTGCTGTGATTATAGTTCAATTTTTGTTTCTATATATAGCATTACTTAAAACATTGCATAAACTGAACACTGCAGGAATCTGAGTTTTAATCAGCTAACATCCTTTGGTTCGGATTTGGAAAACTTAATTAACCTTCAAATTTTGTAAGTTCAAGTTATCTCAAATCTTTAGGGCTATGTACTTCTGCCGGAAAGTTGAATTAACATAAGTGGGAGAAAAAAGAAAATATTGTCCTTTAACTTTAAAATTTTTTTATTTGTTTTTATTATAACTTTTTTAAAAATGTTATTTATTTGTTATTATTAAACTATGCCCAATAAAAAAGCTCTAAAAGATTTATCTTACTTATTTTTTTTTTCTCTCTCTCATTTTTTCACTATTTATTTATTTATTTTTAGAAATTGTAAAACTTTCTATATTCTTGTTTTAACATTTACCATTTTTTTTTGGGAAAATTACATATAAATGGTGTTAAAGTTCCATATTTACTTAGAGACTGAGTCAAAGTTTCATATTTCTCTAAAATGGATTGCTGAGGTGGCACATGATTTTTTACTGTTTAAAAAATTGTGGTGCCTAAAATGCCCTTCCCTAATAAAAAAGTAATACCTTCAGTTCAAAAAAGTAGTACCTTCAGTTTAAAAAAGTAGTACCTTCGGAGAAAAAGTAGTACCTTCGCGGGTGTTTAAAAAACATGGTACCTGGACACCAAAAAGTAGTACCTTCAGTTCAAAAAAGTAGTACCTTCGAAGAAAAAGTAGTACCTTCGCGGAAGGGTATTTTAGGCACCACAATTTCTAAACAGTAAAAAATCATGTGCCACATCAGCAATCCATTTTAGAGAAATATGGAACTTTGACTCAGCCTCTAAGTAAATATGAAACTTTGATTCCATTTATATGTAATTTTCCCATTTTTTTTTTTGTTGGACATATATATATATATATTTTATCTCAAATTATATTTAGCGGTCCCTGATTCTCCCTTACCCTCAAAGTCCATCCCTATCCTTGATTTTCTTTGTTGTTAAACCAGGTCTTTGAGGACTGCATTTTTTTTATCTTTTCTAAATGTAAATGCTTCCATGTTCAATCAATTTGATACTTATTCTTTTCTTTTTCTTTTTCTTTTTTTTCATTTGAGCAACTTTACTGCAATAAACATTCAATTCGTAAAAGTTGCAAGAGAGAAAGATACAACTTGGATTTTTCAGAATTCAGAGGATTGACAGATCCATCTAACTTTCTATAGTAATATGTGGAATTCCCGTGGTGGGGAGATAAGTTGGAGTGAGAGAGAGGAAGGAAATCACGGAGAGAGAAACTTGAAAGAGAGAAGTCAGGAAGTGATTGGGATTCTTCGGCGATGATAGGGAGTTCAGGCGATGAGAGTGTAGAGAGAGAAATTTGGGAGGAGAGAGAAGATGAAAAACTGATGTGTATAGACTATTTTTTCTTGGACACCTGTTTTTAGATGGGTGGCTAGGATTGTCCGGTACCACAAATGAGGTGGTGGGTACCGGACCACTTTAAAAAAAAAATAAATCACAACTCTAAACTTGCATGAGGAAACCAAAAAAAGGACTTGTAAATTACATATTTCTCTTTAATCAGAGTGGCCAAATCCTTTTTATTTTAGTTTCTTTAGTGTCTAGTTTTATCATTTACCCTAAATTATACACCGTATTTAATTATAATTTAAAAACGAATAAGTTTTACTAAAAAATAAAGAAACGAAAGGCCAAAAGGAATAGAAAAAAAAATAAGAAATAAGAAAGAAGAAAAATTATTAATTGTTTAGTTTGTAACTTTAAAAATAGTTTTTAAGAATTCAAAAAGATTTATTAAAGAACAATATATAGTTTTCTAAAAATAGATATTTTTAGAAATGAATTTTTTAAAAAATAAATCAAATATTTTTTATGTAATTTTTTTATTAATTTTTTTTTTTTAAAAATTATTTTTACAATTACAAACCAAGCAGCTATATATTATTAGTTGCTCTAGTTCAATTGAAATATAGAGTGCCAACCGTAAGCCGCGATCACCTACAATTACAAACCGATTCCCAAACCGATTTCTTTTTCTTAAGCCCCAAGACGTTCGCTACTTTTCAAGGTGAAGCCTTCTTTACTACTCGTATCTGTTAGATATTCGTCCTCTTCAAGACTTCAACCCAACGATTTCTTCGACTTCTTCAGTCTGGTAAGTCCCACAACCCTAAATTGCTTTTTTTTCAGTACTAAATTTTAGGTCAGATAGAGTTTATTTTATTTTCAAGTCCCAATCGCGTCTTTGCTTATTTTATTTTATTTTTTTCTATAATGATTTATGATTCGGCCAAAGTTAACTTTTTTGTATTTTTTTGTTTGCAGATCGTGTAATGTCTGAGGTAGCGATTGAGGTTCCCCTAAAGGGTGGGTTTTGCTTCGACCAATGTAGAAGGAACGCCATGCTCTCGGAGAAAGGTCTCAAGCCTCCGTCCTTCCTCAAGACCGGGACTACTATTGTCGGTCTGATTTTCCAAGTATGTATATTTTTAGTCCACTCGGAAACTTGATTTCTTGTTTAATTTGATTTGAATTTCAATTTGTGAACCAGTGGCTTAGGGTTGCCATAATATCAATTTATCAATTGTAAATTTAACTTGATTTCTTGTTTAACTCATTAACATCAGGGCTCTTTTATAATTGTAAATTTATCAATTTCAAGATTTTCAAAAGAATCCTTAAAAGTGTCGCATGGTTATTCAAAAAAGTAGTGGAATTGAGTTCCATTTTTTTTGGTTGTCAATCATAAAAATAGAAAACCAGTTTTTAATTTTTTTAAAAAATTGACATTATAAAATCCAATTATACTTTATTTATTTATTTATTTTCCCCACGAAATTATAGTGTCCAAATGTTGATGTTCCAAAATTCAAAAATGAAAACCTTGTTAGAAACCAAGGAGGAAAAAAAATAATCAGGACTTGCATACCTTGAAAAGGAGATTGGATGGCAGAGATTCTGGGCAAGAAACTTGAATTATTGGGTTCAACCCAATTCCAGCCCAATATCCCATAAATCTCGTCCAACCCATTTACCCCTTCTCTCAAATTATAACTCCCACAACTGTCCACAAGGCTTAATCCCATCAAGTACCTATTGTCATTGACAGTAGTACCCCCTCACTCACTCACAAACAATGGGTAGCCTTGATCCAACAAAAACCCTGCCCTTGCCATGGTGTTGTTAACCACTACACCACAAACTTGGTCAGGGTTACCTGATTTCCATGCCTCCCTGTTGGAGAACTCGTACCAGTGCACCTTGAACGCAAGCTTTTTGGTGAACGTCAGGTTCATCGGTCGCTTGAGGAGGAAAGCCAAATCTTTGTCATAATGAGGCCGGAGACTATAACAAGAGCATTTGGGTTTGCTGAGTGCACTGCTTCTGCTCCTTTTTGCCCATACCTATTACTCATTTCACGAGGAGTTTATTGTTAGACATTGTATAGTGTATTGTTAATGGTGCACTCTGTGGTAGCCAAAGTGAGACTAGGAATTTAAAACTCTAAGGGTGGTTTTGTTTAAAAATTGTCAATTACAATCACACATCATTGGAATAAAAGTGACATTCAATTTCTCAATGTTTAAGGATCCATGCTTGTTTGTCAGTAGCCAAGTTTTTTCTTCAGGATGGTGTTATTCTTGGAGCAGATACAAGAGCCACAGCAGGGCCCATTGTTGCTGATAAGAATTGTGAGAAAATCCATTTTATGGCACCAAATATTTATTGCTGTGGAGCAGGTACTGCTGCTGATACAGAGGCAGTGACAGGTATTTTCCAAATTTTGTTTTATATTAGTGTACTAGCACCTGATTTTCTTTGAGTACAACACTCCTTGTTTTTATGTGAAGCTTTTGAACAATCTAACATTTTCTATTTGCATTGGTAATCGTTGTTCTAGACATGATCAGTTCCCAGCTGCAGCTACACCGGTATCATACTGGTCGGGAATCAAGGGTTGTAACAGCTCTTACCCTTTTGAAGTCTCATCTTTTCAAGTAAGCCTATATAGTTCAAGGTCTTGTTTTATAGCAATATCGGTATATTACTGTAAGCATGTTATAATTAACGAAGGTCGTATTGTTTCATTACGTAATCAGTTACCAAGGTCATGTCTCAGCTGCTTTGGTGCTTGGTGGAGTTGATGTCACTGGACCACATTTGCATACTGTGAGTTATGTCCCTTTATGGTCATGATCAGCTGAAGGCATCATGTTTCCTTGTTGTACAAACACTAAGTTCTATTTTTGAATTGTTGCACAGATCTACCCTCATGGATCAACGGATACTCTTCCATTCGCTACGATGGGCTCAGGTTCTCTTGCTGCAATGTCAGTTTTTGAAACGAAATACCGTGAAGGGCTAACTGTTAGTTAGCTTACTCTGGTTTGTTACTTTTCATGATGCATCAATAGGTTTCCTTGGAATTTGAGTGTTCAAGTATTTGTTTGCAGAAGGATGAAGGAATAAAAATAGTATGTGAGGCGATTTGCTCTGGCATATTCAATGACTTGGGAAGTGGAAGCAATGTGGATGTTTGTGTAATAACCAAGGTCTGTTGATTTGTTATTACTTTCCTTGAATGAATTAGAATTTATGCTGCATCCATATATGTAGTCTAGGTCGTCTTCTTCTTCCTTTTTGTTTTTTCCCACTCCGTGGGTATGGACTTTATGAACTCCTCTCGACAATGCTTGTTTTATTCAGGGGCACAAAGAGTATCTGAGGAACCACCAGTTGCCAAATCCGCGCACTTATGTCAGTGAGAAAGGCTATTCTTTCTCCAAGAAGACCGGTGAGTAGTTTTATCACAAATATATAAACATTTGCCTTTGTACCTTTGAGTTTGCTTTTTATAGAGATCATGGTACTTGTATTTTTTGTCTTTCTGGACTGTCCTGTTATTTTTGTATTTCAAAATTCTCAATTGACAATATAACTAAGCTTGAATGCTTTACATTATCAATAGGAAACCAAAAAGGCTTGAGACTATTGGAAATGTCATTCTTTATGAGTACTCTTGGCTCTTAGCAACCACCTACCAATTTGACCTTCTAGTACACTTGGACGAATACATACTTAAAAATGAGGCTCCTAGAATGTTTATGCTATGGGATGCATTATTTGGTAGGTTGCATTATGTAGTTTGATGTTGATATTTGGTTGATGTTGATATACTGTTGTGATTGCAGAGGTTCTAATGACAAAGATTACCCCCTTGAAGGAGCAGGTGGAAGTTATTGAAGGTGGAGATGCCATGGAGGAATAGTTTTCAGTTATATATTTTTGTAATTTCTCACTTTTATGCCTTGAATTTTATCTCATATCCAACATCAGGTGTAACCTTGGTTGAAGTTTCAAAGGTGTAAGAAGTTCACTGTTGATTGAGATTCTTGAAGCTGGAAATTTTAAACTAGTTCTCTCCCAATTCCACTGGAAGTTCACTCTTTCCAACAAAAACATAAACCTTTTTAGTTTGCTTCACACCTCGGTAATTGAGATTCTTGAAGCTGGAATTATTGCTTTCATAATTGATATTTTTTAATAGATCATTTTTATTATTTTTCAGTGGGTGGATGGATGGATGGATAAATGGAACTGAAATAAATGGATTTCATTTTATTTAGATTACAATAAGATTAAATGGGTGATAGATTTGAGTCTTTTTATGTTGTATTTGAAGTAATAAGATGATAGAAGTTATTTAAAATATAAGAATGATTTTAATTGCAAATAGATGCTGATACATATATTCAGTGTTTGTAAAAACTAACAATCTATCCCCGCTTTTGTTAAAATAAAATAATCATCGTGGGGATATCTGTTACCTTTTCTATATCTGAATTCTTTGTGTATAATTTATATGGATACATCAAAGACCTTCTATCTCCTTGTTCGTAGCATTGAATTGTAATTTTTCAATATCTTGACACTTCGCTGTGAGCTCCTCACGCTAGAAGTCCAAGACCTGAAAAAAGACTTCCCACCAAAGTCCTTCCAAGTGAATCCAATATGGAGTTCATCTGAAGAAAGGATTTAGAACCAGTAGTTGTTCTACTTCTTGTACTGTTAACAATTTTGAACCATTGGCTTCCAGGGTCGCACATATTGTCTCTGGCCAAACATTTACAATCATTCGTGACCACATTGTTATCGGAATCTACATCCAAGCAGACAGTGCTGCCATTGTCCAGCTTCGACGATAAATGCATCTTAGAATCTGAAATGGGTACCCATTTTGATTCATCACCGGTGCAGATCACACCCAGTCTTACAGGTTGTCCCATCTCCCCGGCTTGGAGGCAGAAGTAGGTTCCTTTTATTGTCAATACCTTCTGGGAGGTGTAGCTCCAAGACTCAGACTCAGAGCATGGGCCTAACTTCAATTGCTCGAGCAGTAATTTTCTTTGGACACACAGACCCGTCAATGGATGGAAGATAATTTTATGTAGACGAACTTGGGATATACCTGGTCCTGCACGTCAAGCAAACACTGAAAACTAAATAATATTTATGTGATGGGGCCTATACTTCCTACTCCTGTATGATATTAGCGGTCAACATTTTTCGAATTTGAAAGATATATTATTTAAAAAAAAAAAAAAAAAAATTGTCAGGATTTGCATACCTTGAAAAGGAGATTGGATGGCAGAGATTCTGGGCAAGAAAGTTGAATTCCTGGATCCAGCCCAATGCCAGTCCAATAGCCCATAAGTCTCGTCCAACCCAATGACCCCTTCTCTCAAATAATAACTCCCAACAACTGTCCACAAGGCCCAATCCCAGTCAAGTTCAGCTGCCACACCCAAGAAACAATCCAAGTACCTATTGTCATTGACATTAGTACCCCTTTGGTTCACTCCCCACTCACCCACAAACAATGGGTAGCCTTGATTCAACAAAAACCCTGCCCTTGCCATGGTGTTGTTAACCACCACACCACAAACCTGGTTAGGGTTGCCTGATTTCCATGCCTCTCCGTCGGAGAACCCGTACCAGTGCACCTCGAACACGAGCTTTTTGGTGAACGTCAGGTTCATCGGTTGCTTGTGGAGGAAAGACAAATCTTTGTCATAACTCAGGCCGGAGACTATAACAAGAACACCTGGGTTTGCTGTGTGCACTGCTTCGGCTCCTTTTTGCATGTACCTATTTTATGGCTCATTTCATGAGGAGCGTTATAGTTAGACATTGCATAGTGCATTGTTTATTTTGTACACTACGGTGACCAAAGTGACACCACTTGGTAAATTAAAACTTTTTGTAAAAAATTGCCAATTTTCTGTCAATTCCAATAGTGCATCATTGGAATAAAACTGGAATTCAATTTCTCAATGTTTAAGAAGCTATCCTATTCATGTCAAGTCGCTCGATGGCTCAACAATCATGGTGGGGCCAACAAACACATTTTCTTGTCGAGATGTAAAACAATTATCACATATATATGAGACGATTGCCTCATATAACTGTGGGACTCAAAAATATAATCTACTAATTAGGTGTCACTTTGTCACTTTTAAAATTTTTTCTCTTTTTATTTATATATTTATTATTTTTAAACCGAAAAATGTACTAATACTATACAAATTCATATATATATATATTTTTTATATTATTATTTTTTTTCACATAAGTTGACAATATAAGTTGTATATCGTAGTATACCTGTACCAATCATTCGCATTCTGTCTGGGGCCTCTGAGTTCATTCCTCAAACTCATACCAATGACATTAGGGGTGCCGTTAAACATAGTGGCCATCCTAGTTAGGCCCTTCACCCAGAGGTCAGGGTCGAAGTACTGGTCTCCGAAGAAGCCATTGCCGTCGAAGTTACTGCAACACCACCCTGGCTTGCTTATGTGATTGTCCAATATCACCATCACATTATTGTCCCCAAGGCTAGACACCACCGCCTGATGACATTAATATATTTATTAATTCCTTGACATAAGAAGCTTGTTTTGTATTCACCTTAATTTTGTTTAGGGAAAATTACATATAAATGGAGTCAAAGTTCTATATTTACTTAGAGACTGAGTCAAAGTTCCATATTTCTCTAAAATGGATTGCTGAGGTGGCACATGGTTTTTTACTGTTTAAAAAATTGTGGTGCCTAAAATGCCCTTCCCTAACAAAAAAGTAGTACCTTCAGTTCAAAAAAGTAGTACCTTCAGTTCAAAAAAGTAGTACCTTCGGAGAAAAAGTAGTACCTTCGCAGGTGTTTAAAAAACATGGTACCTGGACGCCAAAAAGTAGTACCTTCAGTTCAAAAAAGTAGTACCTTCGAAGAAAAAGTAGTACCTTCGCGGAAGGGTATTTTAGGCACCACAATTTCTAAACAGTAAAAAACCATGTGCCACCTCAGCAATCCATTTTAGAGAAATATGGAACTTTGAATCAGCCTATAAGTAAATATGGAACTTTAACTCCATTTATATGTAATTTTCCCTTTTGTTTAACTATATGGTAAGGAATTACCATATACTATACTATACACCAATAATTTAAGCATCCTGGAAGAATAGTAATATAGTTATATAATTATATATATAGCTAGTACTAGACCGGTTTTAGCATGTGGTGTTTTGGTTGAGATTTGGTAATCACCATGTGTTATTACAGGAATTAAAAAGTCGATTGAAACTTGACACCCGTGACAATCGGCATGACGTGGGTAAAAATAAATATTTATATTTAATATGATTTGTACTAAAAGTAAAATTGTAAAATATTTATTTAATTTTTGACTTAAAAAAATATTTATATTTAATATGATTAATTATAATTTAAGAGTATATAAAAATTTAATTGAATTGATAGGATAGAAATTTAGAAGTCATCGAATGTCATCGTTGTCACGTGTGGTCATTATCACACCACCTAAAACTTATCGCAGCTGTGTATTCCAGACCTAGCATGCTATGGTTACTTTACAACCAGACAAAAATATTATGAAGTAGAATAATTTGAATATCTACCGGTCCAATATGGCCCAACTAATTTTATTTTTTTTTAATTTTTAATTTTTTTTCTTTTCTCAACCTAAGAACTTGCACTTTTGGATGAGCATCAATGAACTTGATTGTCAATCACATACGTAGGAATAAACTTCACCAATTGTTAACTTGATTTGACGTTTGAACATTATTTTCATCCAATAATATAACACTCTGTAATAATTTTTTTTTTTTGGAAAGATCAATCTGTAAGAATGATAATCATCCAAACTAAAGTCAGTCCAAGTTGCATTCTTTTTGCTTTGTTTGTTTAAATAAAAGGCTAGACGTTTGAGTTTTTGATAAATAAATAAAAATGTGAGAGAGTTACTATTTTAATTAAATAAGTTATTAGTTTAAATTGTATAATATATATATATAACTTTGGCACCTTATCATTGGTGTAAGGTCACTAAAAACAACTAACCATAGTCATGCCATTAAGCAGGTAAGGAAAGAAAGTCAAGCAAGAAATGTGTTCCAGCTACTTCAACGTCTTTTACTTATCTTTTCCAAATTTGCTCCTTGTTTGTCAAATTTAAATTTTCCAGGAAAATTAAGGATAGAAAATTACCTGGTAAGCTCTGATGAGGGGAAGATCAATGAAGTCAGGGTTGTTGGTTTGGAAACCACCAATGGATTCAATCAGCCCCAGGTTCTGAAAAGACTGTCTTACAGTGAGGAAGGCCAAAGAGTCGTTGGTGACCAAGAAAAGTGGCCAAGTTAGCCTCACGCAATTGAATCCCATGGATACAATCTTCTTGGAGATGGCGTCCACCGGCTGCTTGCTCAGCCCTTCCGCCACCATGGGATCAAGATGAGACACCCAATTGACGCAGGCCAGCTTCACTCGCTTCTCGTTTCCGTCCACGATCCACCGGGAATTTGTGTGCAGTGGTTGAGCCATCACATGATTATATGTCACACCATGACAGAATACTGCAAGTGTAACATACAAGATATTCCGGAAGAGGCCACAGATGAACCTCCCCATATTGAGAGTTAGTATTGTCTTCGGGTGTTGACAGGACAAAGAGCTCAAAGCTTTTTATATATATATACCGGGAATTAATTAATGGCTTTGCCTACTTTCTGTAAATTTAATTGGAAGTCCCAAAAAAATAAAAAATAAAAAGAGAAAAGGTTAGGTAGCAAAAACAGGGTTACCCTGGGGTATACCTTAAGTTATCATGTTAGTGTCTGTTCTATGATGGCATATTTGTCATTCCAATAAAATAGTTGAGCATATTGAATGGGACAAAAAATGGAGAGTGCATCTAATGTAGATTCAATTCCTAATTCATAATTTAATACAAGGATCCATATTTTAATTCGATTTAGGTTGTGACCTAGTAACATACTTCATTTTTAATGATATAATCTATGTTAATCCAAATGATAGTATAATATGATTTGTTTTGGATTGGATCTAGAATTAAAGTTGATCCATTGACGTAATTTCTTATTTTAGATTCTAGTGGGATTCAAGTTGAATATTTTAGATTAAGAGGCACAGACACTCTAATGAAGGTACCGTGTCTGTGTCAAATATCGATTTTTTATAGACACTCTTAAATATGTGTTTGTTTATAATTAAAAAATATATATTGATTTTCGAACACTTGATTAATACATTTTAGACATTCGATCAACTACTCTTACACTTTTAGTCTTATACTATAAAACAAACATAAGAACAATCAAACAACATTAGGAGCATAAATCAAAGCGTCCAACTTATTTTTTTTTAAAAATTGAAATTAAACACTTGTCACAATATATAAAACACAAAAAACACAATTACAATGGCAAGATGTGATAATTATATCATATACAGTGTATAATAGAATATATATATATTCAATATTCAAATAGCTTTTTCTTCTAATTTGTGTAACTTTACTATAGAAATTATAAATTAATTACAATTTTGTAATTGTCTTACACAAAAGATGTATAAATGAATTTTTTATTTATTTATATTAGACGTGTCTACAGCTTGTCCGTGTCTTACCTTTTTTAGAATATGACCTAATATTGTATCTATGTTGTATTGGTTTTCGTATCCATACTTCTTAGATTTTAGATTTATATCCAACCCATTTTAAAATTTAAATTAAAAATTAAGATGAAATGAATTTTGTAAAGATTTAATCTCGAGTCAAACTTAATATGATATAAGATTACTACTTACATTTGTTATTCGGGCAAGAAATTCACATTTTGTTACTTTACACTCAACTCCCTAGCTTAAAAGTCGAAAAGAACCTAATGAATTACAACCTTTGGCGACCACTTTGGTCGGTCTCTATGGAATAAACCGCATTGTGATTGGTAAACCGTACGAGCCTAACGAGATTGGGTGTTGCGAGCTGAGTCACAATTCCATTTTATCAATTGGATAGTCGGCATCGCAAGTGTAGGACAAAAACACACACACAATTTCCATGAATCACATTAACTGCCCGTCATATGAAGTTAACGACCATGACGTTTGTGATACAACTAGAATTGTGGATGGTTTCGATGGCACGTTTATTTTAGGATTGAAGAGAAGTGCATGGACATTGATGTTGGAAACACGCCAAGGGATAGATACATAACATGGTCACGCATGCTATTATACTTTGAGGATAAGCTAAGATGTTGAAATATGGCACCTCTGTTACTTAGGGATAAAACATCAAAAATGTTCTCCATTCAATCTTCACAGACTTTGCAAAACTTGCAAGGCAATGCTCTTTTTGTCATTAATCATGTTTGGCCTTTGTTTTATCTTCTACTTTCTCTCTCTCAAATGTCAAAATTATTGAAATGATTTGAGTTTGAAATTTCATTTTTTTTTTTTGGGGGAAAAAATAATGGTATTTAGAAGGTATCAATGTGCAATAGGGACGGAATTGGATGAATGATGAATTTTAATTTTATCTTAAAACAAATATAAACTAAAAGGTTTCAAATTCGGATACATGAAATCCGATCATTTTTCAGAGGATTTCAAAATATTTTTTTTCTTTTTGTTGGAGTCCATTCAAATAAAATCATGGTAGCTACGATTGAGAACAACATAACTTGGCACATTCAATTGGAATGAACCACACAGAAGTTATAACATGGCACTGTTTGCATTCAATTGGAATGAACCCCACAGAAGTTATAACTTGGCACTGTTTGCATTCAATTGGAATGAACGCACAAAAGTTAAATTAGTAGTTTTAAATTAATAATTATTGACAATTTAATTTAACATTAAACAATAAGGTTAATTTTGTCATTTCACAATTTAATTAACCGTAATATGAAAAGTTTTATTAATTTTTTTTATTCTATTGAGGTTATATGTCTACTTTTTATAGTACATAAGCGTTTTATGATTTTAGTCCTTACAGTACGTGAATGAAGATGAGGTTGTGTAAGTATTGATATTGTGAGTCAAAACACTAGTGTGTAATGCCATGATTACTCAAAAAAATTTGATAATGGAAATGTCTGATTTTTTTTATGGCAGTTTGATGATTTTAGAGGGAGAGACTGTGCGCGTTGAGAGAGAGAGAGGTAAGCCGAAGTTTGGCACCATAAAAATAGAAACATCTCAAAATTGGGAGCAAATTTTCTGTCATGAAGTTTTTGCTTTGCACGATTTGAGATCGCGTTTGGTTGGATGCAGCAATTACAGAAGTAAAGAATGTTGACTTATTTGTTACTACATTCACCCTAAAAATAACAACGAATTAATATAGTGCCCAATAACTAATGTCACATATCAATCAAATAATCAATCTTAAGCAAAATAATGAAAAGAGTCATAGTCTTCTCCTTTATTTTATTTATTTATTTATTTATTTTCATGTATAAAAGACTCCGTCGACGTGAAGTGGCTACACGTCGACCAGTTGGGGGCTTTCGGTCGACGTCTAGTCTTTAGGCGTCGACTGGTATCTCTAATTTTTAGGCTAGATTATGTGAATACCTTCTTTTGATGGTGAAGGTGGTGAGTGTGGTACAGTACTCGGTCGACGTGAAATGGCTACGCGTCGACCAGTTGGGGGCTTTCGGTTGACATTTGGTCCTTAGGCATCGAGCGGTATCTGTAATTTTTTTGGTTAGATTTATGTGTGACATTAGTTATTCAGGATTATATGAAAACTTTGTTTTGAGGGTAAAGGTGGTAGTGAGGGAGTAAGTTAATTTGTGTAATTACCGCATCTAAACGCGATTTCAATGACACTTAAACAGATAAGGAATAGGCCAAATGGCCCAAATATAGACCAAATAATGTGCACCGCATGCGACAGCAGCCAAACTAACTTACGAGGATTCATGCCTCTCAAAACCTCTCATGATGAACAACTCAAAAAATTTCTGACAAGTGTATCACTGCTCAACATGTTCAAAAAAATAAATAAAATAGAATAGCATGTGTATCTTTCAGGCATAGATTACTATTGAAAAATTGATGTCGGAGAAAAAACAATCTACAAGACGCAACCCAACACTGTACAAATGATAAAGGTATAAAAATTACAATTTTCGATACTTAACCATTTCTCCCCTCTGGATTGTATAAATCAGCTTCACAGTCAAGAGCAGCAAGATATATAGAGACTCGAATTAATAGAGCTTTATTCGGGTTTTGATTTGAGTCCGACAAATGGGACATAATGGAAGCTCTTCTCCACTTGAGTCACAGCAAGCCTGCCCAATAAGAAAACAATTCAGTATCATCAAGAAATAACAGAAATATAGAGTAATAAATTAAATTACCTGATGCCCACAACCAAAAGCCATGTCCTTTGGATTACTAAGACAAATAGGGCAAAGAAGATTAAGTAAATGTGAATCATTTTTTGCTGACTAAACATTAAGAGGGAGTTTGTCAAACCACAACTGTGTCAAAAAAGATAATGATGTATTGCCACGATATATAGAATAGTTTGGCATATAAGATAATAAATTAAACAAAGAGACATATAAGATAATAAATATACCATAATAAGATAATAAATTACCTTGCTTTTACAATAAACAGAGAGGCATATAAGATAATAAATTAAAAACCAAGTTCACAACAAAAAAAAGACTATAGTTAGCAATGATTTACCTTGCTTTTACAATAGCATCAACAGTCTTGCGCTCCTGTGGGCTGAGCTGACCAAGCTGAGTATCTATGCTTCTTGTCATCTATGGTAAGACACATTTACAGTGAAGGCATCAAGTTAGAATAGCAATCAGAAAATAAAACAATATGAAGCCTCCAGTATTATTATGAAAGTGTCCAAAACCTAATATTGCTAGCTGAATCCAATCAGAAAATAAAATATTCAATGCTACACTAACATTGTATTGAATATTGGAACTTTTGCTACACTAGTCTGTTGTCTGCCAAAATGTATCAAACAATATGAAGACTTACCGGAAATACCAGTCATAAAAACATTGCTGATGTATTATTATTAGAAGAACGTGACAAGATTCAATATATCTCTTGTGAGAAAGATGTGTGTATTGGAAATTAATTCCTTGCAGTGATTGTACGTGTTTATTAGAAACTAGATGGCAAATGGTTTAGAGAGCAAGATCTCATATTTTCTCTTACATCAGTTTTAAACCAGGTGAAAACAGAGATCAGAAGTGTAAAAGTTCCTTCAAACTGCCTTGAAAAAAGTGAGAACATTTTTGAGTTCAAAATGAAAGAAAGTAAAAATTGGGAAATGAAGTTCAGAATATAAGAAAGTTAATTGGCTCAAAATCAGGATCAGTTTGAAAATAAGGGTAGTGTTGTGAGCTGGTGGTTGGGTATTTTTACAGTACTATTTTATAGTAGGTGGTATTAAAAATTGAAGCTCAGTGTTTGGTTGATATGCGCTGTATTAATAAATATGAGCATTGCCAACATCTACAGACTACAATGGTAGAATCCTCAGCATGTAAGTTTGCAAGTTCACAATGCAATTCTGCAAACAATATAATGCAGAAGGCAGAAGGTCAATAAATAAAAAAACAAAAGCTTGATCAAAGTGAATCACCTGCCCATCAGCAATTATCAGCAAAACATGGAATTTACCAGAGCTTTCCTCCACAATGGTCATGGCCATATCAATGATTGGCGCGAAAGACGTAGGTCCTACAATGAGCAAGTAGGAAAGCTTAATAAATCAACAATCTGAACCCTGAAAATGCTATTTTTTATTTATTTATTTTTAAATTCTAAAGGTTTAATGAAATGCGTAGAAAAGGGCACCTGCAAGTCGAGGGTGGGGAACAATTTCTCTGTATCGTCTTAATACTTCCTCAAATCCATTACAAAATCTTTCCTCTGGGTTGAAACTGAAGACTTCTTGATCATGAGTTGAGGCTGAAAACAAAATATAATGAATCACGATAACCGTTATAGAATTATATCGGGACCCTAGCTATTATAAAAAATAAAATAAAAAAGAGAACCCATTGGCTCTGCAATCTACAAGAAGCTAGAGTCGCGGAAAACAAGACCCGGCCTGTTAATGTACAAGAAGGTTGAATGAGACCACCAACAACATTTTGATACTACAATTTCGTGGAAAGCAATGCGTACGGACACACACACACACACACAAAAGAAAAGAGTATATTCTGAATTCACAATTTGTTTTCTTTTTCTCCAAAACCATTAAAAATTGATTAGCTAATTTGTCATTTTCTTTTCTTTTTTGTGTTTTATTTTTGACCTTTTGAAGGTCCTAGTAGCTGAAAAGACCCGTAATAAAAGCATCAGGAAAAAAGAAAAAGAAAAGAGAATTATGGAGCAAACGTAGCAGCACCACTAGGTGTCCATGGTCCATAAACTTCACATAATTTAATTCATTCACATTTAAGAAACATTACCCGTGTTTTAACTTGTACAAAAATAGTGGGAAAAACTACAGATGACTAAATTTAGGAATGTTATATAACAAAATGATTTATTTTAAAAATTTATTTTTCAAATTGATTGAGTTAAATAAAATAATTACCAATGCATCAAAAATTATTATTAAGTTTCAAAATACATTCAAAACTCTTACTCCAAAATACCCTTCTTAAAACTCTTCTTGCCACCGGAGTGAGCTCTTCATCCTCAACCTCTCTCCGCCACTACTCGATTCCTCCGCATCACCACTGACTGCGATAACTACTCGTACAACAAAAATGCCACAAAATAGGAGCAGCCCTCGTCACCATAGCCACCACTTTTGTTTTTATCAATCATAATCTTCTTCAATTGGGTGGAGGTGTTTAAAGATGGGAGTGGCAGTGGTAGAATTTAAGTAGTGATACCTTGTCCAATTGGTGGCTCTGGCCACGTATTAAACCATGTGATCAAATCTACTAATGTGACTGATTTAGTGAAAAAGAATGAAATTACCATGTGATTCTATCTATTGAATTCTCATTAATGTGCATCAATCACGATGTCATCTATAGAATCCACGGTTTTACTATGCTCTAAAATCATATATGTATATATGTTATGTATATAAATCAAGAAGTATATTGAGACAAGATTAATATTCTGTAAATCAAGACCATATGCGGTAAATTTGATTGAGTAGAGAGAAATGGGCAACACCCCCTTGTTTCTCTTGTTTCTTAGGCTCCATTCATGTTCAACACTTCCATACATAATTTAGTGTTCTTGCCCAAATTATCCTCAATTGGCCACTTCTGGGCAATTACTGTATTTTTAAGTTTGGCCACCATTTATATTTTCTTGAGTTTACCAAAATCTAATTTCTCCATTTTTTTGGTTGTCTTTATCAATTATTTAATTCATATTTGCTAATTCAATTTGATCCTCAACTTTTTATTTTGGAATTATATTATTTTAAAAAGGGTATTTTAGTATTTTGAAATAAAAGTTTGGATGGTATTTTGGATATTAATAATAATTCTTAATACATTTGTAATTATTTTATTTAATTCAATCAAATTGAAAAATGAACTTTTAAAATAAATCAATTTGTTATTTACGACTCCTAACTCTATCTGTGTAACTTTTTAAAAATAGTATTATATATCTTTAAGGCATATATTAATTGCAGAATTTTTGTGATGTTAAAAATAAAACAAAACATTTTACATCCCGAAAACAGATTAATTATAGTTGATCTTCTCAAATAAAGGACTAAGTGTATAGAATTTGCTACAATTTTGGTTACTTAACCATTTTTTACCTTTGGATCATGTGAATATGATGAACCAAACACGTACAGTCAAGAGCAATAAAAATCAACCAAATTCCTTAATACTTATATATAAATATATATATATATATATATATATATTTTTTTTTTCTTAACTAATATTATCATTTATTTATTTTTTTCATTATATCAAACACACTTTTCCTCATTTGTGGTTGTTTTTTTTTTTCTTTTCAAATCCCTCTAACTCATCCCATCCAAACGGACCTTAAGGCTATGTTTGGGATAGTGGAAAAGAAAAGAAAGAATAACATTAGTTATGAAAGGAAAAAAAAGAAAAAGAAAATGAGATAAATTGTCAACCACAATAAGAAAGAAAAAGAAAAGAAATTATATTAGTCATATTTAGGTAAAAAAAATGAGACTAGTTTTTCCATAATTAAAGAAAAAAATAAATAAATTTTCGATGCAGTCATAAAAATACAAACAATTAAATTAATAATACATGATCGTATAAACAAATAATTCACAAAAGAAAAAACTTACCTATTTACTTTTTAGTAATTTTAGTGAAGAAGAACGTTGCTTACTTTTTCAACGAAAACCTTTTTAATAAGTTTCTAATTTTAGTGAAAAAGAACAACAAAAATTAAGAAGAAGAACGAGACAAAGTATAATAAGAAAGTAATATATTAAACTATACAATTTTTACGTTAAAAGTGAATTTTAGTGTGTTTTATGCGCAAAAATTTTTGGGAATGGAAATCCTACTTTCCCAAACTTTCTTCAGGGCAAAATTGGTATTAAAAAAATTTCATTAAGAAATAAATACGTTCACCTATGCTGCCCTAGGTACAGTTCAGCTTTCAGACTCGAGAGACACTCGAAGGCAAAGGGAGCTTGTGGACCGACCGCTGAAAATTTCCCCGAAACCTTGGCGTAGTGAGTATTCTGTTTGCTTATTCTCTCTCCTTTTCTTTCTCTTCTTCCTTTTCTTCTTCTCCATTGCAATCCCTAATTTTCTGTTTCACGATACAGCCGCCCTAATTTTCTCTTTCTGTCCTAGTTGTCTCTTTCCCAACACATTTATTTTAAATGTTTTCCCCTCTTCTTCTTAATCTCTATTTATTTTTCTTTTCTTTATTTTTTTCTTTATGCTGATTTTAGTTCTTACGAAACAAAGTGATTTTTCTTTTCACTGGTACAAAAAATTTTCCCCTCTTTGTTTTCGCTAGTCACAGAAAATAATCGATTTTATTACAAGGAATACTTTTTTCCTTCCGACGTATTGGGATTATATGTTTGTTGCGAATTTGTGGGTCTGAGTGTTTATTGGTATGCGTTACTTATCGAAAAAAGAAGAAGTGTTTATCGGTATGTTCATGTTGGTTTTAAAGCCCTTATTTTTTTTAATGATACATGAAATTTGCTAACTAGAGTGTTGGTTCATGTAATGGGAGGAACTGATGTTGATTCCAAGTGAACCCATCTGAAGTGAATAACTGATTACATAGTCTCGAAAAAGAATGTATTTTCATAATGAGGTGAAGGCATATTTTGAGATACTGGGAATATATGATTTTGTTGTGAATTTGTGGGTCTAATTATTTATTGTAAGGTCATGTTGGTTTCGATTTAAAGAACTTTTTTTTGTTCGTTTTGGAGCCGACCCCATGCTTGGTGGTTGTTGTTGTATTGTTGTTCATTTAGAACCCCACGAGTTGGTTCAAGTGGGTAAGTCACTTGGCCCTGGTGCCCTAGGAAGCATTAGGTCTAAGGGTTCGTCTTGATTGCAAACAATTGGGTTGGTAAAAAAATATTGTTGTTCATTTAGGGATGGTGTATTGATGTGATCAGTGCAAATTCTATTAACATGATATTGTTATTGATGTGTTTTGGAGGATGGGTGTTGAGGTGTTCCCTGAGATTTGAGTATATCTATTGTTTCTGTCAAACGCAGATTTATGTTAATAGACGTGTGTTTTATTAATTGGGAGTCAATCGATTAGCATACGGAAGTTTAGGGTACAATGCTCAAATAACTATCTAACAGTAGCCGTTTTTCCTTCTGACTATTATCATGGTTGTATGGAAAATTTTCTAATATACGCTTTACTCATTGTTTTGTCAGAGTTGGCACAATTTAACATCTTTTCAATTTCTTGAATGTGAAAAAATGTTAAGTTGTTAATTGGTTAATTCGGTTGGATCAGTGAACATTAAACTCCATATGCATTTCAAGCATAAACTTAAAATCAATCCTCTATTTTGCTTTCAGATAGACACTGCTTAATATTTAGCAATGGCTGTCACATTCTACAATCTCAGCTCAGAGTGTGGCCTGAAGAAGCTCGACGATTACCTCCTTTCACATAGTTACATCACGGGGTGAGTTCCATTGCATTAATTTTGTGACACATTTTTATGTCTGGTAAATTATTTGCTAATTTGTATCTTTATTTTGCATAGATAGCATCATTCTTTATGTATGGATTTTTGATAATCTGTATATTCACCCTTTAAGGTACCAAGCTTCAAAGGATGATATCACAGTGCATGCAACTCTTTCAAAACCTCCACCAGCTAAATACGTGAATGTGTCTCGGTGGTTTCACCACATTGATGCACTTTTGAGGATTTCGTAAGTTCTTACAACCAATTTGACTGTCATAATTATTGTGAATATAAAACAGTACGGATTTACCATCACGTTCTACTATTTTTTTATTTTTTTAGACTCAGTCATTTTCTTTAAAACTGCTACTTATCGAGTTTATGGAATGCTTGCCTTGCAGTGGTGTTTGTGGTGAAGGTTGCGGTGTCACTGTAGAGGGTTCAGCTCCTGTCACTGAGAATGCTGTTGCAACTCCGGCTACTGTTGACACTAAGGTAAGTTTCTCGACGTGTCTGTTTAATGTTAGCATTTGTTGCTCTGATTATATTTTTTCATGTGTGTGTGCACACCTATCTTATCCTGAATTTTTATTAAGCTCTTGTTTGGCGTTAGTTGGTGTTAGGAATTTATTAATGTTATTTGCAATAACTGTACCTATTTAGCGATATTTATTTACCCTCTCAGATATATGAAATGAGTGGCGAATATCGGGTAAGGAGTGAGGAGTCTGAGGCGAGGGATGCCCTCATTGAAAGTAGCCCTTCCTAAGTCATGCCAAATGTACCACGCTAACCGGAATGCAAGAAAGTATTTTTCTTGGTGGTGATTTAACGATAAAGAATGTGCCCTCTAACTCTATCGAAACTCAGAATCCTTTTGCTCTTCTTAATGATTCTGAGAATGGAAGTCTGGAAGATGATGCAATTATATTATTATTATTATTATTATTATTATTATTATTGTTATTCTGATTATTATATTGAATCTACGATGATGTCATCTTCAAAGAGATACAATGTTTTTGCATCAAAAAGTTATCTAGTAGATTAAAGATGTACTCTTTTAGGGTTAAGCATGCCCAGCTACTACCGTGCAATTTCTGAATCTAATTAATTGAAGTAATTGGTTTGGCTGAAATTGCATAGTGAAATACGTTTGGGTCCATTTGAAGATTACCTATCATATGCACACTTCTGCCAATTTTGTTACTTTCACAAAAGATGCTTTATGTTATAAAATGTAGTAATAATTGGAGGCTAGTAATTTTTTATTTATTTATTTTTAAAATGTATGTTTAAGGTTTTAGTTGAAGAATTTAGGATTTGGTAGAATGTGGCTTATGTCCTTAAATTGTTTTTGTGATAGAGCGTATTGGCATGTTGTACTGATCAAATAATTAGTATTTAGATTTTGAGTTGACCACCACTTACCCATTTATTAAGAAATATAATGGTCACACAATAAGTGCATTGCCACTATAGAGTCAACATCTAAATATAAGTAGCACCTTAGTTCAAATCAAGAGTCAAACTAATCAGAAAGTAAAAGGAGTCTCAAGATCCTTGGTGTTTGTGCCGAGGAAAGGAGAAAATAAAATAAAAAGAGGGCCTTGGGTTGCCTTGGCATTTGCCCTAGGCAAAGGGAAAGAGGAAAAAAGAAGAAGAAAGACGTAATTTGTCTCAGGGATTTTGCTGGGTATATGAAAAAAAAAAAAATGAAGAGGAAGAGAATGGAAAAAAGAAGAAGAAGAAGAAGACAGAACCCTAATTTTCTGTTCTTTCTTTCTTCGCCTTATTCTCTTTCAACCTCCATCCTTAAATCTAGAGTCAGGGAATGGGGGTTTGTAAGAAATCCAAGAACAAAGATTGTTCATCTCGTTATGCTCTACAAGACTATGGTTAAAAAATTTATATTTGAAAGTTTTGGGAATTTGGTGATTTCGGGTCTAGCGATTGAGGACCTGAGGTAGGGGTATGCTAACCCTTTTAACTCTTAATTTTGCGATCTGCTCCTTCTTGTTGTTTCATGCGAATAACCATATTTTAATTGTAGTACAATAATATATATGTATTTATATATATACTTCTCACTTGGTAGTTATTGTGATGAATATGTGTAGATTGCAGTGTTATGTTCTTTCTGCGTAACTTGATGATAGAGATGTGAATATGTGGATTTGAACATAAGGTTATGCTGTTGATTTGAAACGAACTGATTTGGTGATTAATTCATGCCTTGTGATGGATGAGAAAACATGCTTATAAATTGTTGTTTCACCATGAAATAATTGACACATTGTTAGATGGTAATTGATTGGTTGACGGGGTTGTGCCGTAGAAGCAAGGCAGGGTTCAGAGCCCTAGGGTGAAAGACCTAAAACTTGGTCAAGTGATGTTGAATCCCAGTGGGTTAGTAGCCCATAATTCGACAGTTGTGTTACAGGGCTTGCTTGTAGGCAAGCGGACGGCAATACAGACAATGCTCGGATTTGTGAGGATGAAATGTAATTTGTGTTTTGAGAAGTGCTTGAATAAGATTTGTCTTGTTTTCTGATACGATTGAGTTAGAAATTGTAAAGCATGTTGTTTAGCATGAATTTGAGTTGCGTGAACCTGTTATATTTTTATTGCCATTTACTACCATATTCTTATTGTTTGGGTGCACCACATGAATCAATGGTTAAAAATTGTTAGTGTATTTCCTGCTGGGCTCTGCTCACCCCCCAACATTTTGGAGATGAAGGAGACGGTACTAGGACACTTTCCTTCTGAATCCTCCTCCTCAACCTATCCCTTTTTTTCAGGAATGGCAAGAAAGGAGGAGGAATAAGATTTAGTCCATTTAAGCCACTCACTAGATCAATTAATATTGCATGAAGAGGTCCTGCTTGTGTTTTACTGGAGTCGTTGGCTAGTTGCTTTATTGTCATTATATTATATTTAAACTATGTAATAAATTATCAGTTGGTACCTTGTTGACTTTGATGAGTGTTTATTTCAGTATTTGAACTTTACATGATTGTATGGAGAATTCCTTGGCAGATGTTCTTGATGTTTACTTTTTTTATGTTGACAGACTTCCTAGACCTAAGTTTTAGATTGTTAGTTGGTAAGTTTCCCTTTAATGTGATCCACGTTACTGGTGCAAGGTTCTGGACACTAAAGGCTCCCGAGACATTATATAGAAACAACCTGGAGATGTATATGTATTCTCCTAGTCAAGTTTGTTATTTGTCTGATATGTGGAGTTTTGTACTACGTAGAACATTTGAACAAGTTTAGCACCTTTCTAGATCTACTTGTTAATAATAATAATTAAGAATTGTATCTTAATTCTTTGTATGGAACATGTGTTTTAGGCCTCAGTTGCTGAGGATGACGATGATGATGATGTGGATCTCTTTGGTGAAGAGACTGAAGAGGAAAAGAAAGCTGCTGAGGAACGTGCATCTGCCATGAAGGCATCTGGAAAAAAGAAAGAATGTGAGTTTCTTCTCTTGTACTCATGCACAGTTTGAGACTTTTTCTTCTATTATTGTTAGACGATAATTATATTACATAGACTCGGGTATGTGTATCTGTCTACTCCTGTATCAGATTTACAAATAGTATTATCAATATTTTTATTTAATTTCCTGGCATAAATGTTGTTTCTATGTAGTATATATCTTTTAATATGGGTACTTGTTTTGAAATTTGACATGGATATTTCATGCATTTGAAAGAGTCCATATATGATGCAAAGAGGACATCAGTAAGTGGAAAGATTGCTTCAAGATTAGTAACCTACATATATCTATATAATCCATAACATTCTATTTTGGACCCTTGGACTTCTTTGCTGGGAGACTCTACATAGCAATCCCTTGCAGATGTATATATAGTTCCAACTACTGAAATTCTTATCCTATACTATTTTACAAGTTCCCCCAACAGGATGGGTTTTAGATGTTTGCTTATGCTGCTTTTGGACCTTGCTCTTTTTTCTTTTCTTTTTATTTTTTATTATTTTTTTAATCCCTCATTGTTCTTGTAATTTATAAGCTCAATCTTCTTGTGTTTTTATTCTCAGCTGGAAAGTCGTCAATTCTGTTGGATGTGAAGCCATGGGATGATGAGACTGACATGCAAATGCTTGAGAAAGCTGTTAGAGGTGTTCAGATGGAAGGATTGACTTGGGGAGCTTGTATGTTTCTCTTTCTGTTGTCTTGTATTTCTTCTAGGAGGAAATGGAAACTAAAGTATTTTTGGAACTGAAGCAATCAAGTGATGTTGAAGTCATGTTTCTCAAATTAACTTGTAAACATGTGTTGTTGCAGCCAAACTTGTACCTGTTGGATATGGTATAAAGAAATTGCAGATTATGATGACCATTGTGGATGACTTGGTGTCTGTTGACAGTCTCATCGAAGAACGTCTTACGGTTGAGCCAGTTGATGAGTTTGTCCAGAGCTGCGATATTGTGGCCTTCAATAAAATATGTAAGTTCATTGCAGGACTGTTCTTGGATGTTGCTGAAAAATCTCATAATGAATCTATTGCGTGATGTGTTGATGCAACTTAAACAACTATACTGAATCTTGTTTTTAATTATCATATGATTTTTGTGACAGAAACTGGGAGTTTGTTGGACTTGCTGGAAATGCATGCAGGAGAGGTTCGTGCTAGTGAAGATTCTGTTCTGCGCATGGCTGATTTTAAGTTACAAATAGTCACTATATTCCTATGTTTTCTTTCTCCATGGCTTCTTCGCTATTAGGGTTATCAATTACACCATTTTGCATGATGATCTAAATGGATGCTTTTTAAAGTGATTGTACTGATATGATCGCTGCTTATTCTCCAGTCATTTGCAATGAGGAATGGATTAGGTTTTTGCAGCTTGAATATGGTTTGGGTTTTTGCTTTTATTTGGAATATTACTAGTGCTAGTGATTGAAGTTCAGTATGGCTGGATTATAATATAATCTTGTCTGCATGGTCTCCTGCTAATCCAGAGTGTTTTGCTTACTACATTACATAGAATACATATATTCATACATGTACATGAATCCATCCTCAAGTTCTTGCTTAGTCTTACATTTAAACAGCTGCATACGTGTTAGACACTGGATTTATGGCATGAGATGGGGCCAATGTTGATGACAAAATGTAGGTGTCTAATGTATTGTCCAGCAAAGACTAAAAACATGCATATACTGGAGAAATCAACCAATTTCTTGTGTTGGTCATGTTTTCAGTTTCAGCAAGTATTAGTGAAGTATGTTAGGTTGGAAAGATGGTACTAGCCGGGGCTTCGAACGATCTCAGTGGGGGTGCTGTTTACATACATCCTTCATTGGGTGAAAGTTGCCAATTGGGGTTGCTTCCCTGTCTTTCTCTCTCTCACGCGCACGCACACGGACATTGCAGTCTTAGGTATCAATTTCATTTTTCATGGGGTTACGGCGTTACGCTGGTTTTATGTAGTGAAATGGCATCGGGGTTGAGCTGGTTTTATGTAGTGAAATGGCATCGGGGTTGATGTACAATGTATTGTTTGATAAAACATAAAATTTTAAGAGCTGAAATTTCAATTGTTGAAGTTTTCAAGTGGTAATTAAAAAATATATATATCTTTTTGATATTTTTTTTAAAAAGAATTAGGCTCTCAACAATAAGTGAAAAGTGATGTCAAGTCACTTAAAATAATTTTAAGTGATCTTTACTGTTTTCTTTATGATATTTAAATTGTGTTATCAAATACATTTGGGTGTGTTTGGTTGTATGAAATTGGAGCTTTAGATTTGAATTTGAAATTGGAATTGGTGAAATTTGAAAAAAAATTTGATTCAATTTTCTTAGTTTTTTTTTAAAAAAAATTCATCAATTTTAAGTTCAAAACTCTAATTTCATGCAGTTAAACGTACCCTTAATTAAATACCGTGTTTATCAAACTCATCTTAAGTTCCGTTTGTTTCGACGTAAAATTTAAAAAAAAAAATATTTTCACGTTTTAGATAAAATATTTTTCTTATTTGTACTTTTTGGTATTTGGCAAATGTTAAGTCGAGGTTGAGGTCAAATCTTTCTGGTGGGACGTATAAAATAACTTATCAAAAATTGATGGATAAATTATTTTTGTAAAATTTTAAAATTTGTTTTTCTTCGTAAATATTTTATTACAACCAAACAATAAGAAATAAAAATATATTTTCTGAAAAATATTTTACATGTAAATTCAATTCCTAATTCACATTTTAATACAAGTATCCATATTTGAATTCAATTTAGAGCAAGACCCTATAAACATCATTTGTAAACTTATAATCCATGTACAATCCAAATTATAGTGATTATGCTTTGTTTTGGATTGGATCTAGAATTAAAGCCAATATATATTCACACTATTATTTTACATCCAAGTTGAATATATTATACCTACATCTTACTCATTTTAAAATTTAAAATTACAAAAATAAAATTAAAAAAAATAAAGATATATTCAGCTGCATAAAATTAGAATTGGTGGAATCAATTTAATCAATTCCAAAACTCCAATTCTATAAAACTGAATATAACTTATATATGATATAAAACTATAATTTTAAATATTTGCATTTCAGATTCTGAGAGCATACATAGTTATTGGTGTTGGAAACAGGCCAAGGAATAGATCCATAAATTGTCACGCATCCGATCAAACTAACTTTGAGGATAAGCTAACGCGTTGAAATATGGCACCCTTCTGTCACTTTTGGGATAAAACACCAAAAATGTTGTCCCTTCAATCTTCAGACTTGCAAGGCAATGCTCATGTTATTGCTTTTGGCACTGATCATAGCATTACGTTTTATCTTCTACACTCACATTCTCTCAAAAGTCAAAATGATTGAAATATACATTTAAATATAATTCATCTAGGAGGGCTTCAATGCTGTGTTTGTAACCGTATTCTTTTGAGAATGAGAATGAGATTTCAAAAAGAAAAATAAATGAAATGAAATGAAATTTCATTTTTGTTTTCGAGAAGAAACGGCGTTTAGAATGTATTATGTATCAATATACATTAGGGAAGGAACTGGATGAATAATGACTTTTCAAATACCATGGAATTTGATCAAATTTTATTATATTTCAAAACAAATAAACTTAAAAAGTATCAAATTCGGATCCATGAAATCTGATCATTTTTCAGAGGATTTTAAAATATTTTTCTTTTTTATTGGAGTCCATTTGATCCAATCCAATTTAGAATTTCGATAGAAACATGTAGCAAAACCCAAATCTGAAATCCACAAGACTAGATTATTGTTGTCTGAGAAAAAATTCTCAAAAAAAATCAAAATAAGAAATAGCTCTCATTAATTCATTTAGTTGACATTTTCAAGAAAGTTTTAACAAAATAAAGTTCAAATTTTTATGGGCCAGGGGTATCTCATCCCCATAAAGGATAGAAGTCTCCCCAACCATTTTGATAAGTAAAAAAGACAAACCACAATTGGAGATAAAAATATTCAATTTTTTTTAGGAATTTCAGAACATTATTCTTGGTCATTTGAAAACCCACAAAATCAAATTACATAAAAATCAATCCATTCCAAACAACAAAAAATATTCAAATCCATATGTTTTGAACCTAACAAACCTTAGATTCAACTCACAGTTCCAACTTTACCAAATCCTTTGGAATATTGGCTCCGAGCCTGTTTATTTTAAGATTCTCGCAAAAAACACAAAGATTGCTCATCTACATTTGTAGGTCTAAAAATATTTAACATCAGCTGTCTTCAAAATACATTCAAGCATAGATTACTATTTCAAAACTGGTGTGTTGTCCGAGGCCAAAAAACAATGTACAAGACACAACCCAATACTGTACATCACAAAAACAGATTAATTATAGTTTGATTCTTTTTCTTTTTCCTTCTAAAAAAATTTAACAAAAATGATGAATGTATAAAAACTACAATTTTCGTGGTTGACCATTTCTTCCCCCGGATCATGTCATCTGATGCAGCATCAGCTGAACCAAACAATCTAAAGTCAAGAGCAGCAAGAAATCTCTAGATATGCAGAAACTCGTATTAATAGAGCTTTATCCGGGTTTTGATTTTAGTCCGACAAATGGGACATGATTCAAGTCCGTCTCCACATTCACAGCAAGTCTGCCAAAAAAAGAAAACCGTTAGAGAGAAGAAATTTCAAAACATCAATTTACTTAAAAACACTTTTGACCTAAGTTCATCAAGAAATAACAGAAGAGTAATTTACTAAATTACCTGATGCCCACAACCAAAAGCCATGTCCTTTGGATTACTAAGACAAATAGGGCAAACCTGTCCGGATTCATCAAAAATAAAATATTAACACCTTCCAAACAAGATTAAATAAAACCAATGGCATTGTTGAACTATAGTAAATGTGAATCAGTTTTTGCTGACTAAATATTAAGAGAAAGCTTGTTAAATCACAACAGTGTCAAAAAATATAATGACACAGCTAATGATGTCTTGCCACTATATAGAAAATTTTCTATACCTGATTATCATAAAGAGAACTTGAAGATGGAGCTGTGCTTGTTGATGTGTCGTATCCAGGATAAGGAGGAGCTGTGCTTTTTGATGTGTCGTATCCAGGATAAGTAGGAGCTGTGCTTTTTGATGTGTCGTATCCAGGATAAGTAGGTGCACTCTTCTGGAAACTGCTCGAATGATGAGGTTTTGAGCTATTGTTGAAAGAAGGGGCGTTGTAAAGAGGCGGGGGAAGAGGAACCCTTCCTGGAGCATTACTGGTCTGACGACTGCATTAGAAATAACAGAAAAATATATAACATTTATATATTGAAAAGTTGAGGTGGAAACGGAACCAATATCCAAGTAAAACGGTTCAGTTTTTACCCCAATGTATTGAGCATCATAGTTGCTTTGTATTGAGAAGGTATTTCCATCAAGGCAGAGAGTGCAAATTCTGTCTGCTTTCTCATTGGATTTGTGTTCTTTGACATGATCTCAGTAAAATTCACAAACTGTCAACGCAAAGAAATGCAGTTATTCCCAATTACACAATTTTAGAAACATGAACATGACACTGACATATATTGACATTCGAGTGACGTAGCAAACCTGAAAATTATCGAAGGCTCGAGCAGGGATATTATCATCAAACTCCCTCATCATGTCCCAAGGACCATCTCCAACCCCGACAACAATAATTGACAACGGGAACTCACTGAAAAAAAACAGAGGCATATGAGATAATAAAATACCAAGTTCACAACAAAAAAGCTCAAGTTAGCAATGATTTACCTTGCTTTTACAATAGCATCAACAGTCTTGCGCTCCTGTGGGCTGAGCTGACCAAGCTGAGTATCCACGCTTCTTGTCACCTATGGTAACAGACATTTACAATGAAGCGTAAATAGCAAGAAAAATAAGAGAGGACAGTTTGCCCATGAATAGACAAGTCACTTAATTTGAGGAGCACCTTGAGTCTATTAAAATTATGGCATCAATTCTACAGAGTTTCTTTTACACTGATATGAAGTTCATAGTTCAGTAACCTAAAAGTGTAGCCTTCTTCAAAATGAAGTACAATACTCAAATAGTACATTCCAACGAATTAATATAAAAAATGCAATCACTAGTCAGGTTTTATCCTAGTTTTATATGTGGCCAAAAACATATCATTACCCTTCTTATTCCAACATCAACTAAAATCAGTAGAAAGCCTAATCTCTTCACCCCACCCAACATCTATGCTTTATAGGTTCAACTGATTCCAAGATCTAAATGTCAGTGTTGGTAGGGTCAAAGACACTTTTATAAAGGATCAGATAAACTCTGTTAAACACAGATGATGCTGTGACATGAATTCAAAATTTATATGCCTAGAGGCTGCAACACACAAAGCAATATAAAGTAATTCCTTGTTATTTTTAATCTAGTGATACTTGAAACCTAGAAAAATTGATTTTTTTTTTTTTAAATACATAAAAGATTGCATTTCAGCTAGCAATATCACATACATTGGTTGAAGGATACTAGATGAAGATTTATCAAGAAAAGGAAACTAGATGAAAGAAAGTTCTGATGGAGAAGTTGATTTTAGACAGACAATTGAGGACTCCTGTAAGGTTTTATTGAAAATTTTTACACTTGTAAAATCCTATGCGAAGTACAATAATGCAACATACAAACAAGGTAATGCATGTAATGAACTTTTTCATCATAGCTGTAGCTTGTATATACGTCTCACCATTTCACTAAAGTCAATGAGGGACTTTGAAATTAATTTCTTTTCTTTTCCCTTTTTTCTTTTTTCATAGCTTATTGGAACGTTTGCTACACTACTGTTTTCTGCCAAAATGTATCAAACAATATGAAGACATATTGATAATACCAGCCATAAAACAATTCTGATGTATTACTATAATATCTCTTGTGAGAAAGATGCGTTTATTAGCAATTAATTCCTTCCAGTATTGTGTTTATTAGAAACTAGATACATAGTTTATAGAGCGAGATCTCCTATTTTCTCTTACAAAAGTTTTTAACTAGGTGAAAGTTCCTTCAAACTTTCGTCAAAAATTCAGAATATAAGATAGTTAATTGGCTCAAAATCAGTTAGAAAATTACCCTGCTTAGAGAGTAGTATGGTGAGCTGATGGTTGAGTGTGTTTTATAGTATGTCTTAATGTTAAAATTTGAAGCTCACTGTTTGCAAGATATGTTGTATTAATAAATCTGACCATTGCCAACATCTTCAATGGTAGAATCCTAAGCATGTAGCTTGCAAGCTCACAATGTAATTCCGCAAACCAAATAATGCAGGAGCTGATGGTTGAGTGTGTTTTATAGTATGTCTTAATATTAAAATTTGAAGCTCTTGCAAGATATGTTGTATTAATAAATCTGAGCATTGCCAACATCGACAATGGTAGAATCCTAGCTTGCAAGCTCACAATGTAATTCCGCAAACCAAATAAGGCAGAAGGCAGAAGGTCAATCTAAAAAAAAGGCAGAAGCTTGATCAAAGTGAATCACCTGCCCATCAGCAATTATCAGCAAAACATGGTATTGACCACGGCTTTCCTCGACAATGGTCATGGCCATTTCAATGATCGGCGCAAAAGATGTAGGTCCTACCATGAGCAAATAGGAAACCATGAGTTAAAAAAATAAACCATCTTTGAAAATGCTGTTTTTTAAAAATGTCTAATGGGATGTGCATAGAAAGGGCACCTGCAAGTCGAAGGTGGGGAACAATTTGCCTGTATCGTTCTAATACTTCCTCAAATCCATTACAAAATCTTCCCTCTGGGTAGAAACTGAAGACATCTTGATCATGAGTTTTGGCTGAAAACAATATGAAAGGAAGACCATCAAAATAACGGTATAGATAAAGAACCATGTCAAGACCCCTATTAATCAAATAATATATATATATATATATATATATATATATAGCAAGGCCCATTTTGATTAAAATTACCATCTCCAAACCCAAAACAAGGAATTAAGTTATCCTCATCAAAAACAGCTAAGGTTTTTCCAATGATGGATATTGCTTGTTCGTAGGGATTTTGACCATTTTCAATGTGATGTAAGCTCCGCCGGTTGAATGACCTTGCACCTGATTTTCATGAAAAAGGTTAGCACACTGCATCATAAGTCATTAAAGAAGTTTTTAAGTATCTGGATAAAGCTGAACCTGTCCACTCATTGCTCTTTGTGAAATCAATGCCAACAATGAGATTAGAAGATTCTAGGCCAGCTTCAACAAGAGCAGCAGTAACCTGATGAGATGGCATGCTGTTAGGTATCCAATAAACACATAAATGAAGCAAAATTTAAAAATTTAAATCAAAATCAAGTCCTACAAAGAGATTAATTGATAAATCTGCATATATTTATACCTGTTCCAATGTTTGGTAGTTATCAGCTATCATTGAATATTTCCTATCCAACTTCCGTTGTGGCTGAGGAGTTTGAGCCCCATGATTATAAGGGGCAGGGGCAGGTGCGTGGTGATGCTGAGGTGTATAGTATGGCTCCTGTTCAGGGTGTGGCGATTCTGGGTATCCATGAAAATTGAACGAAGACGAACCAAATGATGAAAATTGTCTTCGAATGGTCCCTTTCGAACTGCTGCCACCCATTCTCTCTACAATCCACACAAAATTTGATAAAACCTCCTCCTTAAATAAGGCACACCAAGACTGAAAAAATGCAATCTAAACCTCCACCTGCAAAACCCAATCAAACACCAAAGAACATCCACAATTTATTCAGCTCGATATAATAATCCCACAGGACTAATATAGATTTCGAATCACTACTAGCACTCAAAATTTCCAAAATTTTTAGATATTTTGACGAGCCAGCTTTATATTTTCAAGTAATTTAGAGCATGAATGGCTTGTAACATGTATATATATTGTAGTTAGCAAAGTAATATAAACATAGACCCGCCGAAAAAAGTTTGGCGGCTGAAATCATTGACTAAGCAAAACCGACCTTCGGTATTAATTCAAAATATTTAGCATTCATACCTATGAACCTTCAATGAAATTTCTGTATAGAAGTTGAGAGAAAACGAAGAGTAAACTGGCTTCTGAGAGAAGAACACGCAAGAGATAATTCGACTCAATATAAATAAATTAATATGAATATAGAAATAGTCTTACAGATATATATGAATTTATTACATACAAGCAATATGCATCCTTCACGTAACCTCACGAGTCACGAGCAAGCCAAACCAGATTGGATTTGGTCAACCAAAACTCCTACTACCATTCAAATACCTTAAAAAGAATAAATTAAGTAGTAGTAAAATTTCATTAGAATTGGATTTAAAAATGAATTTAAGAAGTTTGGAAGGAATGATATTTTAAAAAAATTGAGATTTGACGGGATTTGATTGAAAATTTTATATCCTGCACAAATTCGGAGAAAAAATGTGAGAATTTGAAGAGATTTGGTAATTACTCTCTCACTTACCAAAATGATCCCTCTATTTCCTTACTTTTTTCCTCTCTACCCTAAAGTTACTACTCATGTTTTTAACATACCAAAATTATCTCTCAATCTACATAGTGTAATTTTTGTAATACACCATCTTTGTATTTATTTTATTTTATTTTATAGATTTGGTCTAAATTTGCTAACTGATGCAAATATTATTTATTCACAATATCTAGTTTAAAAAACACACACACACACACATAGGTAAAATGGAACAAAATTGATTTTCCTTTTATTTAGAAGCCAAACCCTTTCCAATAATCCCAAAAGGTTTGATTCCAAACAAAGAGTTAATTGTCCAATGATCTCAACCCAATCTAGAGGCAATATTATAACTCCGGATAACAAGAAAGAAACAATTATAATTGTCTAAAATTCAGGGATAATCGTCTATCGATTACCCGCTAAATATGAATCGTACAAAAGGGTGTGTTGTTGGTATGGTACCTTTTGGTGGGAAAATTATTGATATAGATCATCTGTTGAGTTGAAGAGAATTCAATGGCGGATTGGGACGTGACCATCGTCTGTCTTTTGGCGAGTCGATGAACTCAAACTTCTTGCTGTCCATAGTTCGACTGCTCGGAGTAAAGAAACGGAGGAAAGAAAGGGGCGGAGAATTAAGTGAATTTCGTTGTTTGGCAGGACGGAAAAGGCAAAAAAAAAAAAAAAAAAAAAAAAATCTTGAAATATTTTGTACTACAAATGGGGTTAAAACAAATTTGTAATTTTTCTTTTCATTTTGCGCGTTTATGAATAGTATAAGGTTGTTTGCATGCAAATTAAATTTTGGTCAAAGGGTCTCCCATAAGCTTTGAAAGTCCAAATCCGGCATGTCTCAGAAACTTCCATAACCTCCATCCGCCATGTCAAATCATCACAAGTACAACACACCTTCATCGTTCATACTGAAAATCCAACGTCCAAAACAATGACAGAAAGTTCCATTGTCAAATCACCACATACTAGACCCCTTCATCTCCTTTATTGGTTAATACTGACAAAATAAATTTGTAAAAAGGGTTACTTTGGAATTAAAATTATTTCCGGTGTTCAAGATACCATAGTTGTTAATACTCTGAGACGATGAGTTTGTAAAAGGGATCGTGCTTGTTTGGAGTTAAAATCACATATCCAAAATCTGAAAGTTTAAAAAGTTCCATGTCCAGAAAAATTTTATTTTAGGGGCACAGTATAATTTTGAAGGAAATTTAAGGAATTTGAAAAATAAAAGAGAAAAATTAATAATAAAAAAATAATTTTAGGGGCACAGTATAATTTTTTTATATATGTATCAAAAAAATTTAAAAAAATTATGACATATATTATAGAGTGTGGGCTCCCTCGGCTCACCCCTTATATATTTATTTTATTTTATGTTCATATATATAATTTTTTTATATACAATATCTCTTTCTAAATTTTTTGTTTGTTAAAATTATTGTCTTACATTTTTTTTTTTTTTTTTCAAATCCTAATTATACTTCTTTATCTGTAAAATTAATTTTGAGACAAAGGCACATTAGCTCAGTGAGTTAGAGTAAACAAACTTCGCCAAAATAATGTCCTAATCAAATTTTAGGGCTGAATTAATTTATGGTGCTTTTTATTTTAAAAAAACTTATGTGGTATTAAAATTTCAATTTTCCTTATTTTGATTTCCATAAAAAAATAATAATAATAAAAAAAAATTAAGGCGCGACTGGTTGGGTGCTGATCCTCTCTTGGATTATTCTAATCCCATCCAATATCCTATCCTATGTGACTGCTAGTGATTCCTCATTCTAGGTTTGATGTAACTACAGTGATTAATTCACCTCTTTTTCTAGGGTTTCTAATTCCCTATACAAACAAATCAGTAAATAAAGTTTCCAATTGTTTGATTATGAATTTGTCCATAATTCATTTGCATATCATCATCTCGATCAATTGAGGTTTGCTTGATAAATCGTTTGCAGTGACTATATATATCTATATATAAAAATAATGGCGAGTGGCGGTGACGAAGACAACGATGCTGTCTTGAGCGACATCGAATCCGACGATGCCGTGCCGGTTGTTGTCAAGAGTCCGTTACCGGAAGATGTTTCTGTGGAGAGATTTCGAGAGGTTCTTGCGGAGCTCGATCGCGAGAAGCAAGCGCGTGAGGCAGCCGAGAATTCGAAGACCGAATTGCACCAGTCGTTCAATCGGTTGAGGGTTCTCGCTCACGAGGCAATCAAGAAGCGTGAAGAGAGTTCGAGGCAGAGGGACGAAGCCTTGCGCGAAAAGGAGGAAGCTCTGAAGTCGAATGAGAAGCTATCGGTGGAACTAGACGAAGCTGTTAGTGTAAAAGAGGAGGTTTTGAAGCAGAGGGATGAATTCGGGATGCAATTCGACGAAACGATGAAGGCAAAGGACTCGTTGAGATCGGAGATTGAAACTGCGGCTCAAATGTTAGTGACCGGAATTGAAAAGGTATCAGAAAAAGTGAGTAATTTTAAGAATTTTTCTGCAGGGGGATTGCCTAGGTCTCAGAAGTACACGGGATTGTCAGCGGTTGCTTATGGTGTTATCAAGAGAAGCAATGAGATTGTTGGGGAGCTGCTTAGACAGATTGATTCAACCGCAAAGTCCAGGAATGAAGCACGAGAACAGATGGAGCAGAGAAACTATGAGATTGCCATTGAAGTTTCTGAGCTTGAATCGACGATTAGTGGGCTGAGAGAAGAGGTTTTGAAGAAAAGTTCTGCTGTAGAGAATTTGGAGAAATCTATAGCTGAAAAGGATAGTAAGATATTCCAGATAGAGAAAGATATGTCTACAAAAAAATATCTGGCAGAGGATGAAGCCTCTGGGCTTAAGCAGTTGGTAGGTGAGTATGATGATAAGTTGAGATATTTGGGATCGAAGATGGACTCACAAAGGCCGTTGCTGGCTGATCAGTTGAATTATGTATCAAAAATTCACAATCAGATTGACAACGTTATAAAAATAATTGATGCTAATAATGTAGACCAATTAGAGTTGTCAGACTCCTTGTTTCTCCCACAAGAAACAGACATGGAGGAGAATATGCGTGCTTCTTTAGCCGGAATGGAATCTATATATCAATTAACTAGAATCCTTGTTGAGAAAACAAGGGATTTAGTAGTGGAGAGGAATCATGAAGTAAAAGATTTGAATGAAACGGTTTCCCAATTGGTTAAGGAGAGAGAACATATTGGGTCTTTACTGAGAAGTGCTTTGTCAAGAAGGATGCCAGCTGATCTGTCGTCCAAAACAAATGAATTGTTTAAAGTTGCAGAAAATGGGTTAAGAAAGGCTGGGATAGATTTTACATTCAGCAATCATCATGGGGGTGGAAGGTTTCCAGTTTCTATTGACAAAGCAGGTGCTCTGGACACAGAGGAGGATGAAATATATACTTTGGTGAGTGTTTTTTTGGTGATAAGTGTTTAAAGTTCTAACTTGTCTTCCATGGCTTAGATATCAATATATTGTTGGCAGGCTGGCGCTTTGGAAAATATTGTTAAGCAGTCTCAACTTGAGATTATTGAGCTGCAGCATTCTGTGGATGAATTAAGGTACATCTGTTTCAACTTGTGTCTAAACTGTTTGATTTTAATGCTTTTGTCTTGGTGTATATGATTATATAGAATGGTTAAAGCAGATTTTTTGTCAAGTGCTGGCGTGACATTTAGGAGGGTGGGGTTAAGAGTTCAGCTCTGGCTCCTAATACAAAGAAGGTTTAGATTGGGTACAGGAGTTATTTGATAAAAATTGATCCAGGAGTATGTAGGAATGTTTAGAGCCAATTGCTTGTGAGAATTTGTGGGTCTGAGTCCGAGGGCAGTTGTTTTGTATCTAGTTCATTACTAGCACCCTTGATTAACATCAGATGTATTATGTATATATATATATACACACACTTACTCCCTCCGTTCCTAAATAAATGTCTACCTTTTCATTTTTGGTTGTCCCGAAATAAATGTTCCATTTGAAAAGTCAAAGTACTATTTTTTGTAATTTTACCAATTTAACCTTTTTGCATTGAACTTATAAAAAGTAAGCCATCACATCCTTGTGGACCCACTATGGAGCAACGAACCCAAGCAACAATCATGAAACACGACAGAAAAGTAAACACACCACACAATGAACACAAAGATCACAAGGGGAGATCTGGCGAAAATCAGAGATTACAAGTTTCAGCCCCTTACTCTCTAATCTGTACGATTTTTAGTGTCTCTCTCTTCCCACTCCAAACTAAACGCCCTTATATATCGGGCTACAAGAGAGTACTAATTTGGGTCCATGATCCACAAGCAAAACGGGGTCAAAAAGCTAATCATGTTATAGTGATCTTATGAACCCACACAAAGCTCATCCAACGGGTCGTCGGGTCGAAAGCAGGTTGCAATGCGACCCGGCACCAAATTCGGGCCACAACATCACGCATTCACTACCAATACAATAAAAAAAATACTAAAACTCATCTTCTTAAAAAGTTAGATTCCCAAAAGGGACATTTATTTTGGGACGGTGGGAGTATATTAGTGTCTAGAAAATGTCCCCAAGTCAAAATGACAAAGATGTAACAAAACAAAAGTGAAAACTTGCAAAATATTGGAGAGAGTTCTAGTAGGAAATATATATAGATAATATGATGTCAGTAAGATTCGCCCACTTCTAACCTTGAGAAGGAAGGAACAATGCCACGGCAATGATAGATTCTGTTCACAATGGGTTGTATGTTTCAATATTAGATTCCTAAATTAATGCAGTAGCTAATCATGTTATAGTGATATTATGAACCACCATTACTAAAAGATGCTTTGAGAACCTCCAACTAATTTTCAAACTGAACAGTTACTACTTATTTTGGGGTGCTACTAGATAATGTCATTTGCGAATAACAATTGTTTCATTTGCTAATAAGACAATATGCCAAAACCTAAGGTTTTTGTACTTGATAGAAGTTGGATCGTTTGTGTTTTCGTAACTTTTGTGAAGATATCCTCTAACAAGGGATCGTTCTGTTTTTCTTACTACTTTCCTGGATTAAGGGCAGAGACAGGTTTACTCAAAGAGCATGTGGAGGCTCAAGCCAAGGAGCTCAGCCAAAGCAAACAACGGATGGAGGAGCTCGAAGAAAAGGATAGAGTGGCAAATGATAATGTAGGTTACTAATTTCTTTATTCCTGTATGTTTTTTCCCCTTTCTTTCTTTCGACAGTTCCCTTTGCTTTGAGATTTGGTAGTTTATGATTCCTTTTTCTTCTTTTCATGTGGTTGTGTGATCCAAAGTAAATTAAATAAAGATAGATTTTTAATAAGGCATACTTTGGGGCCCCCTTTTTTTTTTTTTTTTTTTTTTTTTTTCCGGTCTAAATGAGGCATGCTTCAGTTTCTCTCATTGATTATTGACATTATTTATGTTTTAGATTGAAGGACTTATGATGGACATTTCTGCTGCTGAAGAAGAAATTACAAGATGGAAAATGGCTGCGCAGCAAGAAGCTGATGTGGGCAAAGCTGTTGAACAAGAGTTTTTGACACAGGTATGCTCATAATCTTGGCCAATCAATGTTTTCAGTGAGATATTTGAGTGAACAATAGTTTCTTGTCCCTGTTGTACTTTTCGTCATCTGTTTGTTGAATATGCATACACCTACAAGGGAATGTTTGTGCAATCTTGAGAAATGATGACATCTATTAATTGCTGGAATTTTTTATATTAGGTTTTAACAAGAGACATCTTTTAATTGCTGGAATAATTTATATTGGTTTTTTACAAGGCAAAATTATCTTGTATAATGTTGTTTTTAAACCAGCAATTCCTAGGCACACTAAAACATGTTAATATTAGGACTAAATTCCTTATGAATTGGGTGGTGATGCTTCAATAGTAATTTGCTTAGGATATTAGAAATTGTTTATCTATTTAAGAATGCAAGAGATGGGAAATAATGACTACTGTCTACTGAAGGTTTCTGGAGTAAGTGTGATTACTTTTATTACTGAGCCTTATAACAGGGGAGTGTTAAATATTAGTATGAAATGTCGGTTGGTTTTACCGACACTAGTAATAAAAAAAGATGTATAATTGTAACTCATGGCATGACAATTGATTTAAATATATATATAGATATTTACTTACTTGATACTTCTCTCTACTAGTCTTGAAACCTTGACCTGGGGATTGAAAGTAAAGACCCAAAGCCACCAGGATAAAGGTAGACTAGTAGTCTGGTACAATTGATTTAATTTTCATTAGCTTTCTTACAGAATTAATATCTGAGGGTAGGCGTTGAAGTCCCCACTTCAGAAATTGTTGCTGTGCTGTATACTTGGTAGTTATTCTTTTTGGGAAGTTTTAGGCTGTTCATTTTACCAGCAGCCTGTGCCAGTACTTTAGTACTACTGATCAATACTGGCAATACCAGAAGGAGATGTGCAGCTAACCTATACAGTGAGTGGTTAGGAGAGATGTGGGACTATTTTTGGTGTTTTGAAATTTAGGTTATACTTGCTGAAGTTATGCATAGTAGTTGCAACTTAAAGGTAATTACAAGTCATCTAAAGGAAAGCAGGGCTAGCGGTTCCAATCTTATTGTCCTTCAGAAATTAATAAAAGCGAAAAAGGGAAAACTACAGTCCAGCGGAAATAGGGGACCCTATTAACACTACATGCACTTCAGAAGTCCACTTTTCCACATAACCCGAATTAGGCAAAATAATTACCAATTACATGGAAAACACTGTTCATAACATTTATTTTCCAAAAGTGCTCTTTTAAATTTTTAGATGGAATGACCCTTTTATCCCTCATTTAATCTGTCAAAAAAATTCCCAATGGCTCCTCTTAAACTCTTATTCTACTCTCTTATTCAACAAGTCATGAGTAAACTTGGTTCTCTGTTGCAAACCCAAATTTCTTTTGCTATTGTTCCCATCTTTCTTTAGAGACACAACAATGACAATGTGCACCAGAAACTTATTTCAAAATTTTCTTTCCACTCCTTATGTTCTGTCAAATTCCTTCACCTTATTGTCTATATATATACAAGTTGAATGTCTTATGAACTCAAGAAATAGAGACCGAGTGCATTCCCTCATATATTGTTGTTAGAACAATAATGTCTAGACATTTAAATTCTTATCATATCAATGTGGAAAAGTACACATATGAGTTCTGTTTTGGATCAATTGTAAAATTTGGACCAAACTAACAATGATCGGTTCATTAAAGAACCATTTTGAGATTGATTTTTTTTGGGTACTTCATTGTTTAGTAACAACCTTGAAATTATCATCTAAGACCTCACCCCAATCCGGAAGACTTATTACCAGCTTGTTGCTCTTTAAAGTCACTGATTAAATATTCCTCACTAAAACTTACAAATATTTCATAATCTCAACCCTCTGGGTCATCATCAACAGGGTTCTCTTTTATGTGCGTATTTTTAGAAAGAATAAACATAGTTGAAGTTTACTTTACTTGAAAGTCTAATACAGGGCATCAAGGTTTGGGTACCCTAAGACAACCAATTCTAATGACTTGAATTTTTTTTTAGGTCCACCACTTCATGGACTTCATATTACATTGCAAGTGTGTTTAATTCAAGAAGCAATGTCATCGGTGATAAACTTAGGATTTTATTTAGGTATTACTTTTTGTATGTCAAGGTATCACTTTAAGTACACCAAGGTATCATTTTTAGCTTTTCCTGGTACCACTGAAATTTTCATATTTCTTGGGTCCGAACACTTCAAGTGCACAGCGAATTTATGTCTTTTAACACATATGTATTGTCAGTACGAATTTTCCCACATGAGAGTTCATATATGGGAGAGTAGGATGTGCCCACTTCTAATAACTCTAGGAATTCAATTTTTTTCAGTTCACTACTTCATATGACATTGTAATTATAAAATGAATTAAAAGGAACAAACTCATTTGCTGATGAAATCAAGGTATTACCTTAGCACGCCTAGTTATCACTTTTAGTATGATGAAGCTCAATCGATCCTCAGTGTTTGCGAACTAAAAATTTCATATTTTTTGGGTCCAACAATTATGCTCCATTTGGTAAGAAGGAAGAAAATTGGATGGAAGGGAGAGAAGAAGAGATAAATGAGACATCCCTAGGGAAGAGATTATGTCGATCCCTATTTTTATTTGGTTAGATGGAAGAGAAGAGAATGAGATAATACCGTATTTTGTTTGTTAGGAGAGAAGAGAAGAGAGTGTGTTACTTATAAGGAAAGTTTTGTAATTTAAAAACTTTTATAAAAGCCTTGCCTTTTTTCCTTCGCGTCTTCTGTTCATATTTGGAGGGATAAAAATTTGTGAAGGAGGAAGGATAACTCATCCATCCTCTTTTCTCTTATCTCCTTGCCCCCTCTCTACCAAACGAAGAAAATTTGTTTATTCCTTCCTATCTTCCCTCCACCCCTCTTCCTTCCTTCCTACCAAATGGAGCATTAAAGTGTACAATGAAGTTGTTTCTTTTGACATGTGTTTCACAGCTGCTTTTAGAGGGGACCAAGACATGGGTACTCTATGTACCTTCTTCTGTTCCAAGATTGTCACATGACTCCTTTTATATTTGTAGGAAGTGTCTAAAATGTGTCATCCTTGTCTTTAAATAATGAAATTATTTTGAATTATGAACAACTATCATGTGTCAGAGACACGTGCTTGGGTTTGTTCTCGAAGAGTTGGTGTTTTCCACAAGTTATGCAGACATGGAAGCTTTGTAGGAGTATTCACGATTCTTAACCTTGGCCAAGTCTTTGAATACTGTCTGGAACTGATTTTATCATCAATTGAGCTGGTTATCAGTGTGGTTCAGCCTCTCATTAGACTGATACATTGAAAACATGAACTTGAAAAATGTAGGCATGAATTAATCTAAAACTATCTCATTCTCAATTCCTCCCCTTTAGACAAAATTTCTGACTTGTTATTACTTGGTTATTGTAAATTCACCAGCTTAGAATAGTTCATGATTGATGTCTGAGAAAGAGTGAAGCCTAAAGATATTCTTTATCATGAAAAATAGGTGACTTTTGCTTTAAACGTTGGACAGTGTGAATGTCATTGTCGTTAGGACACATATGATTGTTTCTATACATTTGTCCCCAACCAGTTAGGGATGGAATTGGAATTATAGTTAGGCATATCATTGGGAAGAGATTAGAAGAAATAAAATAGAGAGTACAGAAGGCAATGTATGGTTTCCTGCTAGGAGTATTTGGATAAATTTGGGAGTTTTATTATTAAATTGGGAATAATTTATAGAATTTGGGATCTTTGGGTTACACTGTAAATTAGTTGATTAAGAGGTATGAACCCAGATTTTATTTTCAGTTGCCACCATGGATATATAAATGAAAAGCTCCTTTTTTGATGACCTTATCACTTTATAGTAATGATACTGTGTTTATAACACTATTCATGACACAAAATACAGAATTCAAACTCCTAGTAGTGATATAAATGTATATAATGTTTATTCTCCTCAATACCTCTTTCTCCTTGACTATTTTTCTATTTCTGATTTGATTGATATATTTGTTCTTAATCGTACTTTCAGTTATCAGCCCTACGACAGGAACTTGAACAGGAGAAGCAAGCTGTGGTGGAGTATCAGAAAACACTCAAATTCAAAGCAGAAACAGCAACTGCTGCCATGGCAGCAAGAGATGCTGTTGAGAAATCATTGAGATTGGCAGATTTGAGGGCATCTAAGCTGAGGGATAGGGTGGTGGAGTTAACCCATCAGCTCGAAAAGCTTGACACTAGAGAAAGCAGGGGCCCAAATGGCCCTAGATACATGTGCTGGCCATGGCAATGGCTGGGGTTGGACTTTGCAGGATTTCAACAGTCCGACACGCAACAACAAAGTTCAAATGAGATGGAGCTTTCCGAACCCTTGCTTTGAGTGAACTCCTTTTTTGTTTCTTCTTTCTTCCCTTTGTGTATTTATTTTGATAGGGCGGAGGAGCTGACTCCAGTTCAAAGAGCTTGACACTTCAGGGAAAAGGGGATAGACAAGTGCTGACAACGGCGTTGGCTTTGGTTGAACTTTGCAGGTTTCCATTGCTTTGACACGCGATAACAGAGTTCAAATGAAACATGCTTTTTTGAACGTTTCTCTGAGTATGCTCCTTTTGTTACTTCTGCCCTCCCTTTGTTTATTTATTTTTACTTTTAATATCTGAACAGTTATGAAATGGTAGTTTATAACAAATTCATCCTTTAAAGGGCGTCTTATTTATAGGGTTTATTTTTTCAACTAATTGTACTGCATTGAAGTTTTTATGAAGAGAATGAAGTTGCCTCTTCTTATGTTCCTGCCTCAACATTAATGCAGTGCTATGAACTTAAACAGGTGATCTTTACCCTCTCCCTGTACACTCCAGTACTCCACTGTTTTGACTGTTTTGTGTCCGCAAGAGGGAAATCCAAATTCATCTCTTAGGTCCTAGGGTTGATAATGGAACCGAACCAAACCACACCCTCTATAGACAAGGCTAACACTTGCTGTGGCATCAGAACATATAATTAACTTAAGGAATATGCAATTATGTAGTATTCATATAATTGAGATCAAGAAATTCTCAATTATACAACCATAATGCTTGAAATGTGAGTAGAGACAAATAAAAATAGTACCATGAGGATTGCCTTGATGTTATCTCTAGTGAATTTGACTGTACCAACTTTAGTTTCCTCTCTCTCTATTCCCAGCAGAACATCGATAATGTCTTCCTGATCCTGTTTCTTTTGCCCAGAATCGAGGTGATCGTCAATAACCTTTTGGTAGAAATCATCAACCTCGCGGAAACTCCTCTCAAGCCTCCCATGGAGTCCAGTGAGCCTGTCAATGATCCACCCCGCGGATGGAAAGAAATTAGAGCGACAAGCTAGTAAGTAGTGCCATTGCTTCAGTAATCATTTCTTGAAATCTATCACCATCGAATCCACTCCCCCTAAAACTCTTCCCAAAAGCAGTCCTACAAGTTATATTTGCAGTGAGGAAAAGCATCTTCTCATTAAGATCAACAGGACTTCTTGAAGAAGACAATTGAGCAATCGAACTGATCATCAAAGAAACCTCCTCTTCTCTAATGAACTGAAATGACTGAATCCTCTTCGCGCTGAAGAGTTCAAGAACGCAAATCTTCCGCATCTCCCTCCAGTAATCACCATATGATGTAAAAGCTATGTCTAGATGATTGTATGAGAGTTTTCCAGTGCCAGCTAACTGTGCCCTACTGCAACAATCAACATCATGAGTTTTCAGGACCTCTCTTGCAGCCTCAGCGGATGAGACTACAAGAGTGGGTACACTACCAAGTTGCAGAAGCATGACTGGGCCATATTTCATGGAGAGCTGCCATAGAGATTGGTGAGACAATGTACCAATCTGGTGCAAGTTGCCGGTGATGGGCAGCTTAGGAGGGCCAGGAGGAAGCTGCTTGTTTTGTCACTTGGCTCTTATCCTTTTAGTGAGTATCACAAGAGGAGGAGAAGAAGCCATAGGGGCGTTGTGTATAGAGCCATTGGAGGCTCTTTGTGATCTTGTATGTGATGCACAGATGAAGACTTTCATTTACTTCTATATATACACTCAACCATCCATGTGCAGAACACAAACTCTAGGTACGTTACAATGAGTTTCTTTGTCTTTATACAAGAAACATGATATTTCTTTCTCAATTCTTCTTTCAAGATATCTCTTCAAACTTTCACAATAAATGCCTGGGACACATTTTTCTTACTTCGAATTCGAGAGTGGCCTGTAGCAACACATGCCAGACACAAATACATTGAATTCACCCAACAAACACTTTAATAAATTATCTACTTGCTAGGAAGTACGAACACTTCCATTATGATGTTGTGTTCCATGCTTTGTCGATACTGTAACGACCCAAAAATATGGCAAAATAATAATAACAATAATAATAATATATAAAATTTCGGCATGACCTCCGCAGAAAAAGTCTCTCTACAACCTGTTGAAATACATAAAAATGCAATGACCTCACTTGGCCTTAAAACTAATTTATCATGTCCCAACACACAATGCAAATAATATACCACATTTCCAAAATAATTACATACATATAAAAAGGTCCCGTTCCTCCATCACATCCAAATAAGGAATCACTAGTTCACTATCTAGTCCCATAATTATTTACAAGGAACGTACTTTAATTACATCAAGTTACAGTCCATGAAATATAGTTAAAATTTAAAAGTCCATAACTTATAACTTTATACTAATTAAATTAAAGTTTCACAAAATATTTTTTTTTTTTCGATAATTAAGTTTCACAAAATAGTTAAGATTACATTAACAAAATATTAAAGTTTTAATACAAAATATAGCAAAATAAATAGATCTCCAATCCCGTCTAAACTTGTGGTGGATCGTCGTCCGCCATCTCTTTTCTGCAACCTAAAAATGTTAATATAGAGGGGTGAGCAAATTGTTCAGTAGGTGGTGCCTAAGACACACCTTTTGTGACCCCGTGAATCTAAACAATAAATAGGAATAAGGGACAGCGGGATCATGCCATGCCGGAAAAAATACAACACAATTTTAAGGTCATAAATAAACTATTTCGTGCCATGGAATGCAATGTCATGCTATGTCGCTCCATATTTAAAAATCCCTTTTATTCATCACTTTTCAAACCGTTAACATAACCCGTCCCATGGCAACTCCATGGCGGCACGAGAGAAGGATTGACTACTGTCCCTGACCCGTAGCAACTCCATGGCGTCATTTGGGGCCCAGATAACTCAACCACGCTAAGGCGGTCTCCCTAATTCTCTCTAGGTCACATTAACGCCACGGACCCTAGGCAATTCCTAGGTGACCAGGTTTTCGCAAATCTTTTTATCAAAACTTTCTCTCAAAAATCCATTTTTCTTTCATTTTAAATCAATTTTCCCATTTCATTGCCCAATGTCATGCATGAATATCTCATATATTTAATGTCGTGCAATTAGAGAAATTCATGCTCACCAAGTTAATATTCAACAATATACATGCTTTGCAACAAAAGAAAATTTCTAAAATATATTTCATACTTTCTAATCACAAAATTTAGCACTAAAGGCACAATAGGCATAAATTTTCATCAATTAAGCATGTTTCACCTTTAAATATCAAATAACATACAATCACATATTTCATATACAATATTTAAGCAACTTTACAAGGAATTTATATAAATTGAGCATGCTATAACACAAATTAAGGAGAATAATTCACAAAATCAAAGAAAATGTGAATTAGAAACCCCTATTTCACTTCGATGCAAAAACTCCCAAAATAAGCCCAAAATTTGAAATTCAAGGGTTGGCCAAAATGGTGAATTGCTCATATCAAAGTGAAGATCACAATGAGCTCTTCGATTTGCCGCAAACGACATCGACAAATTGTCAAAATTGAGGGAGTAATCAAGGATTGAAATTCATGAAGAAAGAAAAAGAAAAATAAGAAAAGAGAGGAAGAGAGAGCTTTAGGGGAGAGAGAGAAAAGTGAGGCCAGATATGGCCTCTTGGCCACTAAGAGCATCTGGGGCGGTATGCAGCTTCCATTCAATGCACTTTTTATGGCCCCCACATGCGATTGTTTATTGGCTTCTTTACAGACAGAGTATTGTTTGGAGTATCTCTATTATGTTTTTTGCCTTTCTTTATTCAGTTGTTTTGTGTTGAATCTGTTCCGTAGAACGGTAATAAAACGGTTATTTTTAAACAGTAATAAAACGGCTATATTATTTACTCTATAAATACTAATTTTCATCTTCAATAATTTTCATCTTCAATAACTCTCTCTCTCAATATTTTTTTTTTAACATTCATCTCTATGGATCTTCAACCTCCATTCTATTGCTCCCATCCTAACCAATCTCATAACTCCGAATTACCACCGTAATCCAATTATAATTTGGATTCTTCAATTTTTTTTCAATCCGAAAATCCATCTCAACCCCAATACTCTTATTTCCCATTCTAACCTTTTCAATACCAACCCGTACCACATCCCCAAATCCAATCTTATTACCAATTACAACATTCTCAATACCAACCATCTCAATCTCAATAATCTCAGTTCCAATCATCTCAATCCCAACGTAATTCTAGGTGTTCGAAAACAAATTGGTCCATTGAAGAAGATAAAGCATAAATTCTAGGTGTTCGAAAATAAATTGGTCCATTGAAGAAGATGAAGCATTATGCAAAACATGGGTTGACATTGGGAAAGATCTAATAACGGGTTTGGATCAGAAGCAAATCACGTATTGAGGACGAGTCCGTAAAAATTTTATTCGGCAACCAGAGGGCACGACGTCCTGAAATGTACTAGATTTGCAAAATCGTTTCTCACACATTAAAAAATTTGTAGGAAAATTTTCTGGATATTACAAACAAATCCAACATCATACTCCTAGTGGCTTCAACGTTGAAGATGCAGTAAGTTTTTTACTTCGTAAATTTTTAAAATTTTTTTTTTTATATTTTAATTGGCAATCTAACTAATTTCATTTATTTTTTATTTTTTATAACTCAATGAAGCAAGAAATTTATTTAATAGGTCAGAAAATGAGCCATTTAAGTTGGATCACTGTTGATGTATTTTAAAGAATTCGTCAAAATGGAATTCCAATTCCAACAGCAATGACGCAGGGAAAAACAAAAGAGCAGTGGAGATCGATATAAATGAGCCTGGGATTAGCCGGAAACTGTTCAACCTACTTCGTCAACAATCCAAACCAATCCATCTACTCGGTCAATACCTGGAGTATCAACACCAGGTTCAGTAAACATTGGCGACGACAATTCGCCTGCAATTAGTGTTGAAAGTTCGCATGGCATTGTACGACCCCCTGGACAAAAAATATCTAAGAAGGGTCGCAAAAAAAGTAAAGAAGAGGTACAACATAATTTATTTCTAGAACAATTTAAAGATTTTACCCATCAAATTGAGTTGATGAACGCCTTAGCAGTCGAATCTCAAAAAATGAAATTGAAAGCTACATTCGATTTAGGCTTGGAGCAAGAACATACAAAAAGAATGGACATTGAGGCGCAAAAAGAATTGAAAAAGTTGGAATTTGAGGCGCAAAAAGAAATGAAAAAGTTGGAATTTGAGTCGAAGCAACTTGATTTTAAAAGATAAATGATGCTTAAAAATTCAAATAATGCTCCAACAGCAGCAGCAAAAGCATGGATCATTGATCAACAAAATGAAATTTATGCACGTTTCAGTCAAAGGGGTAGTTTGTGAAGCTATGTAATGTAATTTTCTTTTTCTACCTATGGAAAGCTAATGTAATGTAATTTTCTTTTTCTATCTGTGGGAAGCTAATGTAATTTTTACTTATATATGTAATGGATATTTCTTTAAATTTCTTAACAAATCTAATCAAAACAAATAATTTTTAAAACATTTTTTATTCATCAGCAATATGAAAATTACATTTTATTCGACTACAACAAATTTAAGCATCTTCATCACCAAATTGATTTCATAAATGTTCTATGAGATCTCTCCTAAGATCGACATTGTCTAATTTATTGCAAATCCTACTTAGACGAGATGTAATGTGTGCCGCAAACTGTAACGACCCAAACCCGGGGATTCGATCGCTAACCGGGTCTTTACCCGAACCCGAGGTTACACAAGGGTACTATGGTCATTTCATGTCATTACAATAATTCTAGAGTCCATAGGGGTAAAATGGTTATCACCTATGGTCAAATAATGGTTTAAGGTCTAACAAGGGTAAACTAGTCACTTGGTACATTTATTATAGCTTCACAACTCATTAGGAGTACAAAGGTCATTTTACTTTATCAAATAATAATAATAAACCCAAAAAGGGTAAAATAGACTTTTACCATGGCCAAAAAGTGATATGGAAACCCTCAGGGGCAAAATAGTCATTTTCTAGTCAAATTACAACATTCATACCCTTCAGGGGGTAATTCTATCATTTTCTAGGGTCATTCTATACTTTGGTTAGGGTCTGGGGGTCTTTGGGTAATTTTGATGAATTATAAAGTCATTGTGCAGACATCAGTTCATCTAACCAGTTAAAAGATTTCTCCTAACCGAGTAGATGAATAGTCAGATCACATTTAACCAATTAGAAGATTTATTCTAACCGAGTACATGAATGACCAGTGAAAAAATCGTAAAAAAAATCATATCTAACCGATTAAGAAACTTATTCTAACAGGTTAGATAATGAAAATCATGAAACCCCTTCTCTACCCTATCCATCTAACCGAGTTCAAGGAATCTCCTACCCGGATAGTTGAACACACAAAAGCCTATTTAACCGGTTAGGAAACTCCTTCTAACCGGTTAGATAAAAAGAACCCATCAAACCAACACACTGCCCATTCATCTAACCGGGTAGATACCCCCATCTAACCGGTTAGATAATACCCAATGATGAAAATAACGAAATTCTTGTTTCCCAAACCCATTCCAGTGCAATCTCAAAACATCTAAACATAAAATTAAAACTCCATGGATATCATTACCCCTAAACATTTCACAAAATCGTCAAAATAACATCTTTTATACATCTCTCGTGAATTAAAATATATGAATCGTCTTTACACAATTTTCAAGGAATTAAATACATAAACGAGGCCGCCATGGCCGTAAATATAAGGTTACAATACATTACAATAAACATCCTAGCGTTGTCTAAGTCTGTAATTGCAAACCTTATGCCAAATCTTCTCCGACTTTCCTGAAAATGTTAAAGATAAGGGGTGAGCTCAACAGCTCAATAGAAAGGGCCTAAAGCACCAACTTTGGACTCCCTTGAGTCGACAAGCAAGAAATGGGAGAGAAAGAAGTTGAGATCATTAATTGGGATGTCAAAACCGCAATCAATATAATACATTCACAATATATTCTGCACAAAACTAAACCATGCATATGAATGCAATAATGACGTGAATGTGACACCATCCCGACACAGTCTGTCACGTCCCAACAATTCCAATAAAATCATCGATTTATACAAGTCCATATACATCAAAATTACACCCAGGATCTCAAAAAAATGGCCTCCTTTATACAAAGTCGTTTTCCTCAAAATATACACAAAAAAAAATCTCCAAATAAATAAAATAAAATCCTGCAATGCCGACTCTTCAGGCTAAGCCCGAATCTAGCAATCCCCGTTTATCTTCAGTACCTGAAATTGGAGGGTGGTGAGACAAAAGTCCCAGTAGGAAAAACCATAACAAGAATTTCATAGAGGTTTAACAAAACAGCTTCACAAAATATACATAATCATGTGCGTTTATAAACAAAATACATATGTATTTAATTAAAACATTTAATAAAAACCATTGAAGCAAAACCACTCCAAGCCATTCAAGGTATAGAAAACCCTGCACTGAAAAAGAATTATTTCCTCACTGGATAATCAACTCCTCAAGCTCCGGTCACCTCTGCAACTCTCGGCCCTCTCTGTTTTCTCCTCAATCTCTCTTAACTCACTCTGTCATCACTCTATTTTTCTATCTCTATCTGCTCACTAAATTCACAAGACGAAGGCACCCTATGTAAATGCAAATCTACCAACCTCGCACAGAAACCAGCCAACAAACCCATGTGAACAACCTGCCAACCCAAATCCTTTTTTCTTTCTCTCTCTTCCCATCTCGGCCAAGTGTCCCCTTTCCATCATTTCAGGACCAACTATCAGCCACCTAAAAGGCAAAGCCACGTGAAGAAATAAACCAAGTCAAAAGAGTCTTGGGCAAGCCAAAGGATTTTGGCCAAAGAGTCTTCCATCGAGTCCCACAAGTACACACCACCATCATCACAATTTTCTCTCTCCCACATTTGGCTGACCTATTCCATCATCCCAACATATTACATTTATATATATATATATATAAAGGTTACAAAACCAAATCACTCGTGGGTCCCGTGAATCCATTACCCATTTGCTTTCTTTTCTTTAAATCTCGGCAGACCCAATTCCTAACTCAATTCATCATATGCAATATATATATATACATAAAATATACAACAAAAACTAAATCCCATTAAACCTCTGGGACCTGCGAAAATGCCATCATCATCATTTTCCAATTCCATTTCTCCTTCTATCTCACGGCTGGAACCCATCCAACAGATTACATATATATATATATATATATATAAAGATAAAATCAAAACCAAGTCAAAGACCCATAAAATACCATTCAAGTGGGACCCAAAATCAACCATCTCAATTTCGCCACCTGCTGCCTTCCATTTCCCACTTCCATTATAAATACAATACATACATAAATATATATTTTATATAACAAAAATAAATCAAAATTCAAAGTACACTAACTTTAATAAATAAATAATTAATTTTATACACTCTAAAAATTATAAATTAATTAAATTAAAATCTCAAAATTTGGATCATCACACGGTCCCAACCCATCCAAACTCACACCGAAAACCGCTAACCGACTTTACCGAGACGAGTTTGATTAGACATCCCTAGTTCCAAATCCAGTCAACTATTTGGGACCTAGCAATCAACGTTACATATCCAAATTCGGCACGCACTCTCTTTAGGTCAAATTAGCCCCAAGCTCGTGAAACCCGGTCCCTTTCACAAAAATCATTTTTTTTCTAAAACCTTTTTCGTCTCAAAACATTTAAAACATTCTTTCTTTCCATAAAACTTTCCAACACAAATCGTGTGACGACCTTTCCACCCCAATTCCCCAACCATGTACATGCCATGAATGAAATTATGCATTTTCAATATTAATAATTTCCATGCTTTGCAATTCCATTAATTTAAGCTATCATGCTCATCATAATTATCAACATTAACATCATCATAAACATGTTATCAAGAAAACACTTATACATATAGCATGCTTCTCAACAATTTACCTTCAAATACATAACTAACATCACATTTACACATAATTTTAGCACATAAGCACATAGATCATGCTTTTCAAGAAAAGATCACCTTTACACATAATTTTATCATATAAATACATAGATCATGCTTTTCAAGAAATCAAACATTAAGCTCAAAAAGAAGGCAAACCATAATGAGTTAGACCTCCCTACCTCAAGAAAGTAATTCCAAAGCCAAGAACTCCAACTCGGAAATCCCCAAATGCATGCAAGATCGGTATAGAAATGTAGACTTTGAAGAATAGAACAACATTTCTTCATGCTCCCTTCCTAGATCTTACCTTAGTTATCTCAAAATCTAGAGAGAACTTTGAGATTTTAGAGAGAGGAAGTAAAATGGATGAGAGAGAGAGTGTGTGTGGCTGAAAGTGAGGGAGAGGAAATGAGATCTGTGGTCATATATTGACCATGTCTCCTCCAAATTGAATGGCTCTCAAGTGGTCAAAGGTCCACCACTACATCAAATGTCAAAAATGCCCTCCAAGCTCACAAAATTCTCTTGCCATGCCATAAAATATCCTTCTCCACCTCAAGTCATATAACTATATATGTATAAACATATATAAAACATATCATCATATAACTAAGTATAATACCGAGACCCACACGGTGCGCAAAACGATGTACGCAAAATAAATAAATAAAATAAAATAAAGATTTGAGAAAAAAAAATCATAAAATTCGGGACATTACACCAACATTAATAGGTTTCGAACGTAATGTGGAAGGGAGATTGGGTCATCTGTCGGAGGTGTCCATTGCAAAATGTGTTCGCCATCGTCTTCAATGATCATATTGTGTAATATGATGCACGTTCTCATTATCTTGTTTAGATCTTCTGTATTCCAATAAAGAACCAATTGATGCATTATAGCCCACCTCATCTGCAACACGAACGCCCGTTCTAAATCTTTTCTAACAGTTTCTTGTTTGTTAGCAAATAATTTCTCTTTGACAGTTATTGGGTACGAGATGGTCTGCATCAAAGTTGCCCACTTAGGATATATACCATCAGATAGGTAATACTCCATTGTACGCTGATGCCCATTCACCACGTAATTAACTGAATGCATTGAACCATTGATCATGCTCTTGAATACTGGGGAATGATCGAGAATATTTAAGTCATTGTGTGAACCAGCTATACCAAAAAAAGCATGCTAGATCCACAGATTTTTTAATGTAGCGGCCTCCACTATGAGGGTAGGTTTATGGCTTCTTCTCGTGTACGTGCTTTGCCATGCTGTGGGGCAGTTTTTCCATTCCCAATGTATATAATCTATAGAGCCAAGCATACCTGGAAAACCTATCTCTTCCCCTTCTCGAAGCAAACGTGCAATGTCGTCTACATTTGGTGAGTGTTGGTACTGCTCCGCATACACAGCAATTATAGCATCACAAAACCTTTTCAAGCTTTCGATCGCAATGCACTTAGAAATCTTTATATATTCGTCACAATGATTAGCTGAAATTCTATATGCGAGTATACGGATTGCAGCAGTCATCTTCTGTATAGGAATTAACCCCATACGACCGAGGGTATCGGGTTTCTGGATGAACCATTCATCATATGTTGTAACACCGTTCAAAATACGAAGAAACAACTCTCGTCGCATTCGAAACCTTCTACAAAATATGTTTGGTGGATAAATCGGATTTTCAGCAAAGTAATCTCGGAATAGCCGTTGTGCTGCCTCCTCTCTATCACGTTTAATATACTTTTTCTTACGAGGTTGAAAGAATGCCCGCACCTTATGAAGCGATAATAATCTCCTCACATCGTTCATCCTTTTTCGATGGATTTCAAAAATATCTTCCCCATTTGAATCTGACGAATTCAATAGAGAAATAGACTCGGATACAGGTATATCTCGTGACGTTGAAGCCATTGTTTTTTTGTATAAGAAATATGAAGACTCAAAGAATCGAGAATGGACTTGAGAAAGCAAAGAAGTGGACTTGATAATTGAAAGAAGATAGAATTGAAAAAAGATAAAATGAGTGGTTTATATAGAAATTTAAAGAACAGATAATGGACTTGAGAATGCAAAGAAGTGGACTTCATAATTGAAAGAAGATAGAATGAGTGGTTTATATAGAAATTGAAATATAACCGTTGGGAAGAAGACAAAAAATTATTAAATTCAAATTCAATTTTTTTATTTTATTTTTAAATTAAATTAATAAAATAATAAATAGAGAATGAAATAATTGGGTTCCACACCATAGAACATATGGATAAAAAAAAAAAAAAAAAAAAGTACCACATCATCACTTTTTAGCTTATATGACACTCTACTTTTTAAAAAGTAGATACATAAGCTTGTATGCTCACACCACTTGCTCTAAATCAAATAAGTAGTGGGTCCCACTACTTAAAAAAAATCTTCCACATTTTTACTATATATATATAATAACAAAACATAAACATTACGAATACTGACATATGTGAACATTTTAGACATTTGATCAACACATTCTAAACATTTGATATACAATCTAACAAAGGCTAACCTCGTGGTACTTCCTCCATTGTCGTCTTTTAAAGTGGAAGACAAAATAAAACAAAATAAGTAAATAAGTAAATAAAAAGATAAGAGGCCTTTATAATTGAAAAAAAATAGAATGAGTGGTTTATATAGAAATTGAAATAAAACCGTTAGGAAGAAAGACAAAAATTTATTAAAGGGAACAAAAATCTTCAGCATCTCCTTCCAGTAATCACCATATGGTGCAAAACCAACGTCTATATAGTTGTATAAGAGTTTTCCAGGAGAAGTCAACCGCGGTCTGCTGCAACAGTCGAGATCATGAGTTTTGAGGACCTCCCTTGCAGTCTCGACGGACGAGACTACAAGAGTAGGAATGCTACCGAATTTCAGAAGCATGACGGGGCCATATTTCTTGGAGAGCTGCCATAGAGTGCGGTGAGGCAAGGTACCGGCAATCTGGTGCGAGTTACCAAAGATGGGAAGCTTAGGAGGGCCTGGAGGAAGCTGCTTGCGTTGTCTCTTGGCTGTTGTCTCTTGGCTCTTATGTTTTTAGTGAGTATGACTAGAGGAAGAAAGAGGAGGCCATGGAGAAGAAGCCACACAAGTATAGTCATGTAGAGAGCCATTGGAGGTAGCTTAATTTATCTTGTATGAAGACTATCATTTTTCATCTCTATATATAATACCCAACCATCCATGTCCTGAATAATCTGTCAAAGTTAATCTAAGCTATCGTGTAAAATACGCTTCGTCCTGAATTTTTAAAAAATTTCACTTTTCTTTTTCTTTGCAGAACATGGTGGTTGCAGCTTCAAACTTGTGGACAAATTAATATGATGAGAAGAATAATAAGTATAGGTCAAACAATGTCCAACTTCAATAATGCATTCAACGGAGTGGTCTTCCATTTTAAGCAGGACGGATCTACACTGAAATTGTTTTGTATTTTATTTTCCGAAATTTTTATTTTTTTTATTATATATCTATAAAATTTTAATATTGCCTCCACTGAAATTATAGAAAAACCTCACTATATATATAAGTTTGTTCCCTTTCACATAATTTTTTAGGTCCGTCACTGATTTTGAGAGATGGTGTCATTAAAAAACTCTATAACGGCATTCAGAGTGGTGTTAAGTACAAGATTGATTGTTTGTTGTAATGACTTAGGTATGATAATAATTTCCTTTTGTATTGGTTTGAATAATTTATGATTTATGTCATGTTTTGCGAGGAAGTTTAGTTTATGATTTATGTTGATTGTTGGGGGGTGCAGTGACTTTTGGTTCATAAATCATAACAGTTGTCTATTATATTAGGTAGAATAATTTTGTCTTTTGCAGTAGTTAGAATAATTCTTGTATTCGTTAGGATAATCAATTATATATTTATATATGTAAGAAAGAAGTCTTTATGTAACTTTCTCCACATGCATCTGAAAAATGGCTGTTACTCAGCTGTGCTTTAAATTGTAGTGGCGCCAATTGTGGTAGTTATTAAACTATCCGTATATTAAGCAGAGAGTCCACCAAAATAAAATAATTCAAATTGTAGAGATCTCTGTAGAGAGAACAACATACCTAATCCTTTGAGATGATCAATTCTAATGACTTGAAACAACCTCTACATTTTTTTATTATTATTTTTTTTTTGGGTCCACCGTTTCATGGTCTTTATAACACACATTGCAATTGCAGTTGTGTTTAAATTGTAGAAGCAATGTCACCGGTGATATAAACATTGGATTCGTCAAGTGCATGATGAATAACATAGATGTTAGGATGTGGCCACTTATACTTATTATTTTGTCTAGGCAATAGGTACCATTTTTATTATATACTTGGTGTCACAATATGGCGTAACTCAATCTATCTTATATATTTTAAAATTTTTTAAATTTAAAATTTAGAACCGTTTAGTAACGTTTTGTATTTTTTGTTTATCATTGTCAAAAGGCCAAAAAAATTATAATCGAGTTAAACAAGTTTGATAAGGCTAAAAAAAAAAATTATATGTGTTTATCGCAAAGTCGACCTATAATAATATCATCTACTGTGACAGTACTGTAATTTTTCTAATATATTAATTCTATTTTTTCAACACTTTTACTTTTACTTTTTAATTTATTTATTCGATTTAGTAGGGTATTAAGTTTTTAACCAATTATTATTATTTTTTTAACATATTAAATTTAATTTATTTTAATTTGATTTATTTTATTCTTATAAGAATTAGGTTAGAAGTTGTGCAAAATTTGGACTTCCAAATAAAACAAAGGGACCAACTGCGACCGCCTTAGACATCAAAATTTGATCAGGCAGGTAACAAGGGTTCGGATTTATGGGGAGCCTGGCCCTGGGTGAAACGCGGGAAACAAATTGCTCGCTAACGGCTCTTCTTAATATCTCCGCTCGTTTATTTCTCTCTCCTCACTCAATTCACTCTGCAAATACCTCAAAAAAAAAAACCCTTGCCAAACCCTAACCACACCATTGGATAAAAGCTCTCTCGCCGGCAGATCTCTCTCGCCGATGAAATTCTCTGCAGACAAAGCCTTGAATCTACGAGATCATAACGATAGAGGCAATTTTTATTTTTTACTATCTGAACCTCATGTTCTTACAGGAGTTTGAAGCTCTCTTTTCAGAGCCATGTAAGATATCATCCCCGGTGAAGCTAGAATGTCTGTTTCTCTGAATTTGTCTTTAATATTGTCTTTGATTAGGAAACTTTCCTGAAGTGATGGCTGATACCATTCGATATCCTTGTGTTATTCATAACCTGTTGAAATCAAATCTGCCCCACCCTCTACATTATTCTTTGAGATGTTTGTGTTAAATTGTTAATTTTAATCCTTTATTATTCTTTTGTGATTTTTCTTCACTTGTGATCTTGTTTTGGGTTTGTCATATAAATTAGTTATGATAACTCATATCCTTTTTTATTTATTTATAAATTTAATCCATCTGTAACTTGAGTTTGATTCGATCAATTTGGGTGTCGGCCAAGCATGCTGACTATCGGTAAACTAGGTGATTGAAAATTTCCATTTTGAAGTTCATGGTATAACGGGAATTTGAGTCAGATCAATTTGGGTGTTGCTGGCTGTGTCCTAGCATGAGGACTTTTAATTCCCATGTCAGTTTAAGCATTGGAAGCCAAAGGAATTAAATTATCTGCTTTCTTATACTTCTTTAAGCACTTGCTTCTACTGAATTGACAGGGATGGAGGAATTAGCATAAACCTTGCCTTCATATGCCCATTAGCAGTACTCTATGTACCCACTTCTGTTACAAGATTTATGACTCCTATATTTGTAGGAAGTGTCTAAAGTGTGGCAGACTTGTCTTCAAAATAATCAAATTCATTTTGAATTATGAACACATCCATCATGTGTCAGAGACACGTGCTTGGGTATGTTCTTGAAGAGTCGGTGTTCTCCACGTGTTCGATGCGGACCAGCTTTGTATGAGTATCCATGCTTCTTAACTTTGGCTGATTCTTTGTACACTGTCTGTAACTGATTTCAGCATCAATTGAGCTGGTTATCAGTGTGGTTCAGCCTCATTAGCACTGATACATTGAAAACCTGAACTTCAAAAATGTAGGTATGAATTCGTCTAAAACTATCTCATTCTCAATTCCTTCCCATTAGACAAAATTTATAACTTGTTATTCCTTGGTTATGGTAAATTGGCCAGCTTAGAATATTTCATGATTGATGTATGAGGAAGAATGAAGCCTAAAGATATTTTTTACCATGAGAAATAGGAAAGTTTTGCTTCAAAAGTTGGACACAGTGCAAATGTCACTATGATGCGTTTGGTTGTTTCTATACCATTTGTCCCCAAACAATAACGGATGGAATTAGAATCTTGCCGCATGTGTTATTCCTCAGACGTAGCGGAGCATTATCCTCTTATACAATATTATAGTTTGGCATATTGTTTGGAAGAGATTGGAAGGAAAAAAAAAAAAAACGTACAGAGTACAGAAGGCAATGTATGTTTTCCTGCTAGGAGTATTTGGATCAATTTGGGAGTTTTATTGTTAACTTGGGAATAATTTATAGAATTGGGGATCTTTGGGTTACGCTGTAAATTAGCCGATTACGAGGTATGAACCCAGGTTTTATTTTCAGTTGTCACTGTGGATACATAAATGAGAAGCTCCTTTTTTCTTTTCTTTTTTTATTTTTTAAATGACCTTATGGCTTTATAGTAATGATACTGTATTTATAACAGTATTTATGGTAGCAGATACACACTTCAAATGCTTAAGAGTGATATAACCCAAAACTTAATCCATGTAAAGTTTAATCCATCTGGTGGGTTGAGTTCTAACTTGAGTTTGATACCTCTTTATTTATTTGCATATAAAGTTTATTTCTTCTCAA